GATGAATATGAAACTGACAGTCCTTCACTGGATTCAACCATTAGCTCAGTGCAATTTACTGTAAAATGTTATGATTCAAGCAGTTTTTATATAAGTAGCTAACCAATCTGACAGTAAGGTGGGCTCCCACTCCAATTTCCACTGCTCTGACAGGTCCTTACAGAAACTCCAACTAAATTGTAGCCATTTTCACAGCTGTATGTAGCTGTACTATTAACAGTTGTAGTGTTGTAGCTCAAAATAGTTGCATTCGCATATAACTGATCTGGAGTCCCACATGACCCTATTTAAAATGATTTTACATATTGATAACAATAATATTCGTGCTCACCAATTGTAGAAGTAATAATTTCAGCTTCATTGACTTGAAAGATCCAAAGTCCTGCTACTTCTACGTTGCTGGTAGTTTCAATATCAATCACTGCTGGTGTCCTAGAGCCTTGCACAGCAAAATATGTGGCATTTTGCCCTCCAAAGTTAAATCCTACGTAAGCTTCTGTTCCACCTAAGCCATTTAAGCCTCCACTTGCATCACCAGTGACCCAGTTTATACCATCATCAAGGTAAAGGAAGATGACATAGGAGCGACCTCCATCAGTAGCTAGGACACATTGAAATGTGTTGTGCTATATTATGTTAAGTGAAAAGATTAGAGAGTCAATATTATTCATACTTTGTCATCATTCTCCTCATAATATCCAACTTCAGACCATGTCACTATTACAACAGACTTAGCTGTAAATGGAGGCTGGTTTGGAAATGCAAGTGCAATATCCTGGGCCACTTTGCTTACAATAGCACTAGCAGTAGTTTCTCTGTAATAGACTGTTCCAGCTCCATTGCGTGTGTCTACATCAGCCCAAAATGGAGCAATGAGTGTTTGAGGTAAAGGAAATGGAGCAGATGTGTATTCATTATGCGCCGCATAAAATGAAAGGAGGCCATTGTTGTTTATCTGCATAATTATAGATAATTATACAAAATAATTATGAGTAAAATATATTCTATTTAGATATTCCCACTTACAAAGACGGTACTGAAATTTGTGCCATAAAAGACAAAGTTACTTTGCAGATTTAAGGATGTGGATTGATCATCGACATTAGTAAAAGTTTGATCTCCTGTTGATCCTGCAAAGTCATAGAAACGTGATATGGGGACAGAAAGACCTGCAAAATTGATAGTACTGATATAATTTTATTAGTAACACAAAATACTGACAGCTTTGAAACAACAGCAATAAAAACAGCATCAGCAAATATCCCAGATTCATTTTGACTCTTGAGATAATGTCGAAGAATTTTTTGCTCTCCGAAATTTATAGGTCTAAATGAGCCACACCTCTAATGGGTGTGGCTCAACACCAACAAAACAAAATAATTTATGACAAAATGAACTTCACCACTCTGTCTTCATGGAGTTTGAGCCCCAACTCTTCACTGATCCCGCCTCTGGCTCTGTTTTATCTGGTTCCTCCACACGTCTCATCTTTCCAGACACTAGACAAGGCCCCTGATTACGTAACAGATGTGAGTACACTAGTACAGAGCCTTCTTTGAACTTAAAGAATGACATTACACCTCCATTATCATAACCTAATAATACAGTCCCAAAATTTGTGGTTCCAAAATGTGCTAAAACGAATAAATAATTATGTATACAGTATAGTGGTAAAAGGTGTGGTTAAAACTATTAAATGATACATCTTAACAAATAACTATTATTAACTATGAATATTGATGTACCCAATGCTTCGAGATGTACACATGTCATACCAGTAATGCATGGTATATTTTGTGTAGGTAACTCCATACTTCTTCATCTTGATATTACTGGAGATGATAACTCGCTGGGTACAAGGGCTCCCTAGGTTACATTTAAATGACTCCATAGGCTCTCTCTCAGCTGGAATGTTCATGCTAATGCTTAACTTGGTTCTATTTCAGAGCATTGAGCTAGTCGGATATGTATGGGTCTACAACAATTACAGGCTGTTCTCTTTGCCGTGGGACTCCCCTCTTACGTGGTGGATCGCTCTACTTGGAGTGGACCTGGCGTATTATTGGTTTCACAGAATGGCACATGGTAAGACAAAACATATTGCAACAAAAGCACTTTATATCACTGTGATTTCCTTTAAACTTGCAGCAGAAATGTGCTAGGAACATGCTCTATCAAGATTAGTATTAAGTAGGTGTGTTTATACTTAATATTGGCCACAACAGAGCTTAATTGACCTTAGCACATTTCTGCTTCTCTATTTAAGGAAAATCACAATATTATCGTTCATAACACACGTTTGAGATAATCTTGTGATACTTTCAAATAGGATATGATTACAAATCCTTTACGCATATTGTAGGCTGTGATCATGATTCCTTCACAAATACTGTAGGATGTGATTTTTAAGTATATTAAACTTGTTTGATAAACATTTCCTTTTACTCTTACTTTTAAGGTATTAAAGATAACAAACTTTAAGTGATATGGTAAAGGGTCAACTGGTCCAACAGAACATGTTAATTTCCTACATTGACCTGATGATGTGGTACATTAGAAATGTGTTTACGCTGTCAGTCAGTCATGTACATGCACGTAATTCTCCTGATGAGCTTGTGCAATTCTTTGGCTAGAGAAGAATAAATATGCTTGATCGACAGTCACGAATGCATCCTGCTCGTTTGGAAGAAGCTTAGTGTTAGCATGGAAATAGAGTTGCATCATGTCATGATAGTTGCATAGTTTATGAGATATTGTTGTTGCTTTAATTATAATTAAGTTAATAGCTAAATTTAATCAGTTAATAGCTAAAATTTAACTACTTATATAATAGAACACTTAGTTTAGGAGTGGACTTGGGCCTTGTTTACACTAATCCACTTCACTGAATCAGGATTGTTTTTGGCTATTGTTCGTTTCAGGTGTTGCATTTTCAACATTTTTCCATTATAGATAAATAACTACAGATGTTGAGGGTTACTGGATATTACCTGAGGCTGAGTGACGTATAATATCCAGTAACAGGAAACAGCTGTACTTTATCTGGTTTGCAATTTGTACTATAGTGTCGATATCTGGATGTATGAAATGGCAATGCCTTTGATACCCACACACTGTAGTACAAATAAGATTTGTCATTTATTTATAAAAGCATTCAATTTGGTATGATGAGTTTAAACTCAAACTGTATTAGAAAATGTCTTCGTTTACATGTGAAGATGGATTAGTGTAAATGGGGCCTTACTTTAAATACAGTAAGATTCCATCAGCAAATTCTGAAATTATGAATGACTGAAATTGCCATAAAGACATTGATGCTATACATGTGTATGAGCCATGCAGTATTAATCATCAGTAATTAAACTAATTATAATGGTTTTGGTTTTTATTTGTAGAAGTTAATCTGTTCTGGTCTGCCCATCAAGCTCACCACAGTTCTGAAGAGTATAACCTCACCACAGCACTGAGGCAGTCCTCCTTCCAGAGGTTTGGATCAGCAGTAAGTCACTACCAGTAACCACCATCTTAATGTTTGGTAGATTGCTATTGAATTTGCAGAGAATAAATGACAGATTAGAAATTTTGTAAAAGAACCACCAATAACTTTTTGTCTCAGGATGATTCCATCTATTATTTCTATAAGCTATTTGGCAAGCATTTGTTGTGTTGCCTTAGCTAGAATAATTTTGGCTTAAGTCTCCAAGTTACTTGCCAGCCAGTATTGTAACCATCCAATATTTAGTGTTTGGATAATGATAAACTCTTTTGATCTTTTGTTGACATGACTCTATGTAACATAATGCCATTTCCTTTGTTGGTGTCGTCTATACAATTTACATTATTTTATTCCTCCATTCTAGTGGTTTTATCTTCCACTGGCGCTTTTCATGCCTCCTACACATTACCTTGTACACAAAGAGTTCAATCTCCTTTATCAGTTCTGGATTCACACTGAGGTACATCTCAGGCATGGGGTCAAGCACTTGGTGCTTGTACTTAAGTACAAATAAGCACAGCTTTCAAAGTACTTAGTGCTGCTTACAAGTACCTTTTCAATATAATCTATGTGCTTTGTACTTGTACTTAGTTACTTTTACAAATTTACAAAAGTGCTTTTAAGCACAGCAAAAATTACACACGAATAGTGTACATGTACATGTACACATCTGCATGGTACATCTACATGTACATCTACATGTACATCTACATGTACATCTATATGTCGATGTCATGTACACGTACCACTACATGTATATGTACATGTACATGTACATGTACATGTACATCTACATGGTACATGTACATGTAGTATACAAGTTTAGTAGCACATTGTGTGATCGTGTGTTAGCTTGAAGAATGGTAATGGCATCACCATTAGTGGTATCACTCCAAAGCTCTCTGCTGTTTCCATTTATTATGAACAATTCACAGAGTTAGTGTTTATTAGATGCAATAGTAAATTAACTATAATCGTAATTTTACTTTATTTTTACACTTATTGAATATCTAGTACTTATTAATGTAATTAAGCACTCTGAAAAATGCATGTTCTTGTACTTAAGCACTTTAAAGCTAGGGATTGTGCTTGTGCTGGTACTCCTAACACATTTAAGTGCTTGTGTTTGTGTTTAAGTACATTACCTAGTGCTTGACCCCATGTCTGGTACATGTACATACATATAATTATCATCACATACAATACATGCTCAGTGTGTATTTTGTATAATAGATTTGTTTAGTAATATACATGTACATATGATCTTAAGTGAATGTTGCATACTAAATGTGTTATTATTATTTTATCATTTTTATTATTCAGTGCATAGGGACATTAGGACCATTAGAGTATGTATTGAACACTCCTTCTCATCACAGGGTCCATCATGGTATGTATGTGCATTGAAGTGGCTTAATACTTTATGTATTTTATTGTGTATTATATATTGTGTATATATAGGTAGGAATAGGTACTGTATTGATAAGAACTATGGTGAGTTAAAGTATAATAGATTTGCTCTTTGTAAAAGGAGAGGCTTGATTAGAAAGGAGCTTTGTATGTTTGTTTATATTTGAATATTTATTTATAGCTGGTGTCCTGATAATATGGGATAGGATGTTTGGCACATTTGAGAAAGAGAGAGACACAAAGATTCACTACGGTCTGGTGCACAATCTGAAGAGCTTTAACCCAGTCTGGGTACAGGTAGGTGAACATGTACAATAATAGCTGCATGTATACCTTCTAATTACCACAGGTCCACCATTATGTGTATTTGGTGAAGAAACTATTCTCAGCCAAGAGTTTCTCAGAGTGTGTTCATATACTGTTCAAAGGGCCAGGCTGGTCTCCTGGAAAACCAAGACTTGGTGAGCCACATGAGATCCCTGAGGTCAGTATATGTAGTATAGTATAGTAGCACATATGCACAAACATTGCCAATTCTTATCAAAATTGGATTCTTAAAGTTGCTCCAAAATTGGGCCCAAGTCCCTGTACTATAGTACAGTGATTTTAGCCAAATTTTGTCAAAAATGAAAAGTAGAGAATTCTCCCTTTTTATATTTTATCCTGATACATACACATGTTTTTATATTGTGTGCAAATGAAAGCTATCATAACAGCATGAGAGCAAACGCAAGCCTCTTTGACAAAATTAAGCCGTTGATTTCTTCATTTAACACTCATCATTCTGTAACTAATCTAATTTTAACAAATATTTCATTCCATGCTTCACTACATAATCACACTCCCACTCATTTGCCAGTCCTAATAACCTATTCGATTCAAGCTATGACTGGTGAGGTATACTTGCTTAATGACACCATTAACTTCTTACAGCCAAGGCAGCACATTTTTCAGACAACTCTCAAGCAATATGCTAACATTCTACATAGCATCAGTTGGACAAAATATGAGAGCTAAGAGAGAGGTTGTATCTGAGACTTCAGTTGTAAACAGCAAGCGTAGGTTTCATGAGACTTGCATAAAAATTAAAGGTCAGTGTTATTTCTTTGATGCATGGACATTTTTTATGTTATGGAATTTTTGAGCTGGTTATGATAAAATAGGATTTTATTACCAATTTTGTTCCTGTACTATGATACAGACTTTAGCCAAATTTTGTCAAAAAATAATATTAAAAATTTTTCATTGCTATAATTTTTCCTAATGAACTTTTGATCAAATTTCACCAAAAATAAAATTTTGAGAATTTTTCATTTTTATAATTTTTCCTGATGCATATACATGTTCTTATGTTGTGTAGAAAGTTTGAGTGGATTCCAATCAAATCCGGATTTTTTACGAATTTTTGAAGTTGCTCCAAAATTGGGCGAAAGTCCCTGTACTATAGTACAGGGATTTTAGCCAAATTTTGTCAAAAATAAAAAGTAGAGAATTCTCCACTTTTATAACTTTTCCTGATGCATATACATGTTCTTATGTTGTGTAGAAAGTTTGAACTGATTCCAGTCAAAATTGGATTTTTTTATGAATTTTAAAAGTTGCCATCATTTATTTGATAATTGAAAACAGAATGCATGTAATTCCTAATAAATGAACAATTAATTTTGTGTCTAAAGGATACATTAGTGGTGCATTTTGGAGCCATGGGCACTAGTTGTTATTTCACATTTCCAATAGATACCTCATGATACTACCAAGTACAATCCCCCTGTCCCTCTCTGGGTAACTGTCTATCATTTCTATAACTTTGCTGTCCTTCTTGTTGCCAGCTATTTACTTGGATTGATAAAATCAGTAAGATCATTTATAATTACAAATTTAAGCCATGATGACTTGTTTATTCTCAGGAATTACCATATGTTGTTGCTTTGTGTGCTGTGCTGTATTTCTTGTATTCCTTGACATGTATTGGCTTGATTCATGATCACCAGTAAGTGAACTGACTAATAGTTATTACTAATAATAATGATTATCCACATTATACTATTTCCTTCACTATTTTAGTCCTCTAGGGCCATTTTGTGAGATAATGAAGTTATTGATATTAATATCTTGTGATGCCTATTTTGGTTTTTATTTATCAGGTATAACTAAACTTGCCATGTGCTTCATTTTCTTTATAATTAGAGTCTCTACTGATTCAAGGGATGAGAGTGTTTGCTATGTTCTCTCTCATTGTCTGGCTTAGAGTTCTGTTCAAACAAGTAAAGGGTAAAAGGGACTGATGGACTTGCTATATGTGTGCATTTTATACTACCATATTGTTGTTTTTATTATTATTAGTAGTAGTAGTATTGAGATTTTATTGTGTAATTTCTATTTCCTTGTGTTGTGAAATGTTTTCGAGTTTGCCTTCAACTCAAGAGTGGATAATTATTTACTCTTGCTTCAAGTTAATGCTAATGCTTTGGCTGTGCTAATTGGCTGGAAAGTGTTTTTGATCTGTTATAAAGATAAACACTTAATAAAATAAACAGGATCTACTCAAAGGCTGGATCATAAATAGGCAAGGTGGTAGTATCGTGCCCTGTCCCTTTGTTTATCAAGGTTACTTGTCATTTTTGTCCACAAGCAATTGATAATGGAGAAATCGAATTTCACTCTTAGTGAAGATATCAATGGCCCTCTACTAGCAGCTGCACTTGCAATTCAAATGATAGGAGCATTGGTTGCTAATGGTATTGTCCTCATTGCTACTCTCTCTCAATATAAATCCTTAAAGCTACCATCTACAATGTTCTTTACTTCACTCATTATCATACACCTTCTAATGGCTCTCCTTTTTATTCCTTTTTACATGATTTCAGTAGCAGCTGGAGAATGGATCTTTGGTAGAACAGTTGAAGAGAAAGAAGGTACCTGTAAATATGTTGCTTACATATTCTGGTACATCATACTAGTCATATACATGACATTAGCTGCCATATCTGTTGATCGCTGGTTGTTCATAGTCAAGTCTCAACTCTACAAGCAATTCATGAAGCCCAAGGTAGCCCTGACTATCATTGTTAGTATATGGATACTGGCTGCATTAATAAATAGCACACCTTTCTACGGGTTGGGAGAGTTCAGATATTCAGCTTATGGCTGCTGTGTGCCTGTATGGGAGGGACAATTTGGCTACCTCTTATTCATTGCTTCGTTTAACTTTATCGTGTTATGCGTCATAATTGCAACGTCAGTTTGGACTTTTATTTTCACACGCAAGTTTATCCAGGAGCAAGCTGCTCTAGCAGATAGTTGCGTCTATGTATCAAGGAACAGGAGACTAATTGGAATATTTGGGGCAATGCTTTCAGGATATGCCGTTTGCTTCGCTCCTGGTTTTATTGTTGCTGTCCTTAGCCAAATCTTTGATCTGGAACTCTCAGCATATGCAACAGTTTTGTCACTGTTCATTAATGTTATTATAATCAATCCTATGATTCAGTCATATTTCAGGCCTGAGATTAAGAAAGTACTGACTGCTTTCTACGCCAAATGCAAGAGATTCTGTATTCGATCCAGTGTCCATAATAACACTGAAGCTGGGAAGTCATTCACAGTTACAAGTTACAAGTGAAATCTTCTTATATTATCTGTTTACCGATATTTTTTGTTCATGACTGCTGTGTGCCTGTATGGGCCTGTCTGTTTATTTATAAAAATCTAAAAAAACATATTGTCACTACAATACCAATAATTGTTGTTATGTCTGGTCACAAATTGGCCACACTTCTAAATATTAACAGTCCTTATAGGAGTAATTGTATCAACGAGAGAATTATATTTACAAACTTTATAATAAAATTTGATTTAGAGCCTTTTTTAATATCAGATCTCAAGTACAAGATATTTACCATGAAGAAAAGTATAAGTGCAGAATGTAATGCTTCCAATTTGGGTCAAAGATTTGACTTAGAAAAAGTAACACTCAAAGCAGGAAGGAAACAGATTATGTGTCCAACAAAATATCCCAACCAATCTTCTTTTTTTGGATACGTAGATGTCACCTGATAGTTTCAAGTAGTCCTGAAGTAAAGAGCATTGTAGATGGTAGCTTTAAGGATTTATATTGAGAGAGAGTAGCAATGAGGACAATACCATTAGCAACCGATGCTCCTATCATTTTGAATCGCAAGTGCAGCTGCTAGTGGTAGACCTTCAATAATGGTAAAGTTGTCTGATGACTCTAAATTCATGATATTAAAATTTACACTATGTAGCAGTGTAATTAAACTGTTCTAATAATATTAAATTATAGGCGTCTTGGTGTTTAATGTGATTTCTGTTTTTCCTGGCTATAATAGTCTAGTTTAGTCTATGATCTCTGCCAAGAATTAGTACAGTGGATGTATTGGCTTACCAATAATTAGATAGTGTGTCTCAAGAAAAGCATTTTTCTATTTTTATAATTTAAAAAAAATATGTATACATGTCCTTATATTGTGTATCAACTTTGAGTTGATTTTGATTCAAATTAGATTTTTTATGAATTATTAAAGTTTTTTTCAAATGCGATGCATGCATGTAACGTAGTGTTTGTCAGCTCATAAATATGCTGTGTTGCTTGCTTTGTAGGAAACCCTGTATATAGATTCATATATGTACACATTGGTTTGACAGCCAGCATTTAAATCAATTGTTTTATAAACATTATCATATTAATAAAAATGATACGTGCTACATTCTAAAATTATTAAGTTAGTACTTAGTGAACAAACAGAATCAGAGATCCTTCAAATGTTGAGACATTTGATTTTGAGTTTAACAAATGCTTTTTTCACATCTGGTCTGAAGTAAGACTGAATGATTGGATTGATGATAGTTATCATCATAAAAAACACCAACGCAATGGCATATGATAAATCGTGTAGATCGTATATCTGACTTAGAAATCCAAATATGTAACCTGGCGAAAAGCACACAAAATATGCAATAAGCATCACACCAAATATTCCTATCAATCGTCTCTTTCTTGAAACATAGACACTGCTCTCTTCTAGCTCTGAGTGCTCTTGGATAAACTTTTTTGTAAAGATATAAGTCCAAACTGAAGTCACAAGGATAACAGCAGATATTGCAAGAAAGATGGCCATCATTAGGACAACATAAACAAACTGTTCTTCAAATGTTGGTACACATGAGCCATAAATTGCATATCTAAATCTACCTATCCCGTAGAAAGGTGTGCTATTTATTAATGCAGCCAGTATCCATATACTAGCAATGATGGTCAGGGCTACCTTGGGCTTCATGAATTGCTTGTAGAGTTGAGGCTTGACTATGAACAACCAGCGATCAACAGATATGGCAGCTAATGTCATGTATATGACTAGTATGATGTACCACAATATGAATCCAGCAAATTTACAAGTACCTTCTTTCACTTGCATTGTTCTGCCAAAGATCCATCCTCCACTTGCAGCTGACAGTATCCAAGACGGAATATACAGGAGAGCCATTACAAGGTGCATGATAATGAGTGAAGTGAAGAGGATTGTAGATGGTAGCTTTAAGGATTTATATTGAGAGAGAGTAGCAATGAGGACAATGCCATTAGCAACCAATGCTCCTATCATCTGTAGGGTAAGCACAGCTGCTAACAGAGGACCATTAATATCTTCACTGAGAGTATAGTTGACTCCATCCATTTGCAGAAGAGACTTAGAATGCTTAATCCTGGCAACAGAATAATTTTTATTAATCTGCTAGATCTGGATCTACTTGTAATATTATGTATACTTGCATACTTCCTGTTTTTGCTGCACTTCATGATTTAGTCTACAAATCAGCTATAATGTGTTCCTGCATAGATACTGTGGTAAGTGTGGTTGCTGATTCTAATTATTAAACCAAAAATTAAACTGCCTGGTTATTAAAAGTTATTAATCATGGCAATGCAGAAAGCGGTTCTTGTTGTTCCTTTGCTTTTACTGATACTGTTAACTGAAAGGTGCTATTCTGCTACTGGGTGAGTATATAATATGATAGACTCTTAGCTTACACTAATGACACATGCATCTACACACCCATGCAGGCTGCAACAAGGGACAGGGCAGTGCACATTCGCTCGTTCAACCACCTCGTCCTATAAATACTATGATGCTTCTTTCTACACGGTCCAGCAACGTGAAACGTACTCTTGTGGCTTTCTTTGGTTGAGCAGATGCAGTCGCTACTACACTAGGTGAGGTTTACTAATATTTATATTATCTACATACCTCATGTCATGCCCTTGCATTTCTTAATAGGTATGTCTATTATGCACAATCCAAGACTGGCTATCATATAACATACTACTCCAGTACGCAATGCTGCTCTGGTTACTCTTTAACAAGCGGAGTCTGTCAACGTAAGACCCATTAGAGCTAGTTTATCTAATCAATGGCGGATATCGTTAGTACATTTTATCTAGAGTAAATGTACTTTAGTTAATGTACATTTAGATAAACTTATATATTTTTTATTTTAATAGCTGTATGCTCTGGCGGTTGCATCTTTGGATCATGCACCAGTCCTCAAACATGCACCTGCAATAGTGGCTTCACTGGATCCACTTGTGCCTCAGGTTTATATAAACTTTATATTATGATAGTCTGTTTTGCTACAAAAGAGTTATCTCTTGATCGTGGGTGGAAGGTGTTCTTGATTTGATTATACTCACTCTATTCTAGTAGTGAGCTGTCCACCCCCACATTGTTTGCTCATGCTAGTGAAGCCATAAACATGTTGCATGATTTGATTTATTTTAGTACAATTATAACTATTTACTATTACTTCAAACACAAAAATTCCTTTTAAATATTATTATAGATATTGATGAGTGTAGCAGTTACAATGGTGGCTGCAGCCACGAGTGTGTTAATGGCTTTGGTACTTACTCCTGTCACTGTCCAAGTGGTTACTATTTAGCTTATGACGATCATACATGCATAGGTGAGTCATATTTATATTATAGTGAAGACCTAGTCATATCAGTTAGAGTGTTGATAAGCAAAGCATATCTTGTTCATGCAAAATATGCTACGTCTTGCTAAAATTGATTTGTTGTCTGAGCAGTCTCATTGTTAATCTTTTTTTACAGATACTAATGAGTGTACGAATGGAAATGTCACAATTGGATCACAGATAAGCAATGCCAGCAATGACTCTTGGTGTGAACAAAAGTGTATCAACACACCGGGTAGCTATGAATGTGGCTGCCATGATGGATACGAATTAGAATATGACAATCAAACATGCTCGGGTACTTTTATTCGAAAGTTGTTCATTATTTTGCATGTTTGCTTTATAGAAATTGATGAGTGCTTGGTTGACAACGGAGGCTGTAATCAAACATGTACAAACACACCTGGCTCATACAACTGTTCCTGCAACAATGGCTACTTATTGCTAGAGGATCAAGTTTCATGTGCTGGTAATTTGATCTGCATTCCTTCACCTAATACTGTATTGTATCTTTAGATCATTGTGAGTGCTGCACTGGCAAACATAACTGCCAACAGATCTGTCATAATACAATAGGAAGCTTCTATTGTAGCTGTCGGCCTGGTTATCAGCTTTCCTCTACTAATTCAAGTGCCTGTGATGGTATGTTGGCATAATTAACTTTAGTGGCAATTGCAACTAGACTCTACTATGTAACCTATAGCAACAGCTATATAGTTAAGAATGGAATCCAGTGATTTCATTTGTTTACTCTTTACAGATATTAACGAATGCAATGATGGCAGTTCCAGCTGTCACCAGGTCTGTATCAATGACATCGGACGTTACAGCTGCTCTTGCTATCCTGGCTATATCCTAAGCAATGATGCACACTCATGTCAAGGTGGGTTTAATAAAGAGTCCGCTATATGGTTTAATCAATTCTGCTTCTCTTCATCATCACTCAACAGATGTTAATGAATGCTTGAATAATAATGGTGGATGTGGGCAAACCTGTATAAATACAAATGGTTCCTTTAGCTGCAGTTGTCATAAAGGCTACTCACTTAGCCCTGATCACACATCATGCTTTGGTGAGTGCATGCTTTATCTAATTTAGTTGTGAGTATGTAGATCTACATCGATAGACATAAATGAATGTACTATGAATACTTCTAATTGCTCACAAGTTTGTATTAACAGTGCCGGTGGATTTTATTGCGATTGTCTCACCGGTTACTCATTATCTGATGATAGAGTAACCTGCATTGGTGAGTATGGGATTCCTTATCAGAAACATTTAACATTACTTCCATATTTAGATGTAAATGAATGCTCTGTTGCTAATGGCAATTGTCAGCACATTTGTGTTAATACCATCGGATCTTATGATTGCGAATGTCGTGAAGGATATACTAAAAACGGCTCTCTTTGCAAAGGTAATTATGCTTGATTCTTACTTTCTAAAAATGATATTATGGTAAAAGCAATCGTTTATTTTTTAACACATATCGTTTGTTGAGTTTTATTCATAAACATACACAATTCATTGTTAGTCTTTACTAATTCCCAATCGGTATTTTGTTTTTCATTGGTACACATGTACTAGCTGTTATTCTCCCTCCTCAGCTAAAAACTGTCCATTACTAATGGAGCCGTCTAATGGTCAAATGACTTGCAGTGGAGATCAAGTGACGGATCAGAACTGCACGTTTTGGTGTAATCCTGGCTATGATGTAAGAGGCTCGTCATTTCGTTCTTGTCTCGGATCAAACCAATCATGGTCAGGTGAAGAGTTCTTCTGCGTTAAGTCACAGTGTCCTGTACTGATGGGTAATGAGGATAGACTGGTGCTTTATCCATGCACAAATGAGTATCAAGACCAATGCCAGCTTTTATGTGGCACTGGATATGCTCCTACTAATAGTAACTCTGAGACTATATGGACACAAACTTGTACTGTCACTTCTGATAACTCGAGTGTAGACTGGTACCCACAAAGGAGCTGCAAAAGTATGACGTTTATTTTAGAAGTGTCCCTTTTTTGACTATTTAAATTTATAGTGCAAGATGTGTGTGATCCTAATCCCTGTGGTCCTGGAGTGTGTTCTGTTAGTGATGGTTCCATACAGTGCAACTGTCAAGGAACAGGTAGAACAGGGGAGAGATGTCAATTGGGTTACATCGCAATTGAATCAGTCCCAGTACTAACTAATGGTAGCTATGAAACTGTATCAGTTTCATCTGAACTTTCTGTTCAAACTATGATAACAATTACTTCCAGTGATAACAGTTCACTCAGTGTTGATTCACCAACAATTAGTTTTCTCAAGAGAGTCTCTTACACTGTACAAGCTAAGAAGCCAGGTATTTTTAAGGTCAGTTATACCGTGATGCCTGGTTCGCCATACCTCAAGCCTGATGATTCAATATACATGATCACTGCAAATGAGCGCACTGTTAGAGATGAATCCGACTATTTCACCACTCAAGGTCTACAGAGAGGTCATCTTGGGATAGGATGCTGTAGAAAGACTCTTGATTTATCAAAATATCAGTGCTCCTCTAATCTTACATTGCACTCTTATTGCCAGTGGGGTGATGATGCAAGCGTTACTGCTGGTGTTGTCCATATAAGTACATCCTCACTGTACCTACCATTATCTGTTGCAGGTTTAGAATTAAATCCATCTCCTTTTTCATTGGGTACTCATTATTCTGCCAAGCAATGCAACACGTGCAATGAAGCCTCTAATTGGCAATGTCAAAAACTTGATCCGTCATTAGTTTTCAGTGTTCGTACTATCGAGGAAATACTTCAGTACAGAAGTCTTGCCGAATCTTTCTTGACAAGTGTCAAAAGTTTTCTTCCGTCATGGCTGAGAGTGGACATACATTCAAGGACGCCTGCTTCATCTTATTCAGCTCATGATTTCATGGCATCTATTGGAACAGCTAGTGAGGTGAAAGGAATTACTGGATGTGGTTCATTTGACCTACCAAACACTCCATCTTTATTATATGCCTTGAGGACAACATCACGTCTGCTGGTAATGATAGATTCTTATCCGACATTTCTTTATCCGCTGGCTAGCAATCCATTTTGTATCCTTATTGATATGTGCAGTAGCATTGCTCCTACTCTGCACTCTGTGATACCTCCTCAACTTGTATCAGGACAAACAACCACTGGATCAGCAAATGTCTTGAGTTTGCTGCTATCTGGGAATGCTAGAGCTGATTTTAAAAGTATTTCACTACAGGAGAATGGGATAGTTTTTTCAGCGAAGCTACACAAACCTTTACGGCAATATTGGAATGGATCTCAGTATTTCTCTCCTTCTCTGCCTTTGGTGTATCAGTATCAGGTTAATGTTGACTATCAAAGGATATTCACTGGTGGAGCAAATCTTAAAGTGGACCTTAACTTCAAAGGATCTGCTTATTACCAACCCAATATTAAAAGAGAGGCAAGTTATTATAAATTTCTAATGCCTGATATTCACCTAATGAAATACTCCAAATAATTACATTGTTTCTGTTACCCTATACAGGTTCCAGGACTGTTAATGGGAGAACTGAGTCTTAATATAACAACAGTAATAAATCATAAACCAGTTCATTTGAAAATGACAACAACCAAAGACCCTGTCCTATTTACTTACCCAATATCAGGTCAGTATCCATTATCACTATCATTATTAAATGGGCTTGTTGTCATATTTAGGTGTAAATTCAGTTTCAGAGCTTCCAATTGGTCTATCAGCAATACTCATACATGACAGCACTGCTAGCGATCCATTTTATCGTAAACATTTTTCTGTCCCACCTTTTGTCAACCGTTGTCAAGTATTTGCTTTCCTTAGCCTGGACGAGTCTTTAAATTTAAACAATGTCAGCTTAACATCAGATTGCTTCTCTCTTAACATTGGAGACCTTCACTTTCCTCAACAACTAAGACACATCATTCTTCTACCTGGTACTACCAATCCTACTCCTTCTGCTACTTTCCTTCTAAATTCTTATCCATTATCGTCCATCCCCTACAACTTTGAACGCTTCACGTTGGAGAGAGATTCAGTAATTAAGCTTCATTATACTTCTAATGATGATGCCATGTATGGAATCCTTCAATCAGTTAATGTTTCATTCCTTAATTCCGTATCAACTACTGATGTAAACATCAACAGCAAAGAGCTCACGTTTGAAACTGATGCTAAAATATTCATGGACTTTGACGTACATATTGTCGGTACTCTATTCACCAATCAGTCATCTACTATGGAGCTTGATGGAATGTTTCTCGAAAAACCAAACAGTTTTCACTCTGAACTTACCTCCTATCTCTCCCGTCACTTACAGATTGAGCTACAGGATGTGATAAGTAGGGCTAGAAAAGCAGAAGAGAGTGTCGCAATCTCTCAAACATGGCGTGATGATATAAATAATGAGCTAGCGAAGAGTTTGGCAGATCTTTCAACCAAAGAAGAGGCCCTGGGAAAAAGTAATGATTCACTGACATCATTACAAAGTAAAGTAAATGTAGCTCTTGATAATTTGACAAGAGTTCTAGAAGACTATTTATTACACAACAATTCTCTATCATACAATGAATTGCTATGTAATGAGAAAGGACCTTGTAGGAGAGAGTGTGAAGCTGGAGTCAATTGTTATGCTGTCAATGGTAATATTAGATTATCTGTGCCTGGTACCTGTGCTAAGAATGAGCTCGTAAACAGTGCTACTAAGAACATTAGAAAGGTCGTAGCCAAGGAATGGCAGCAGCAGATTCAATGTCAATCGTGTTGGGAGACAAAATGGCTCAGATTTGTTTACTTTTCACAGATGAGTTGCTGTAAAAGTACTAAAGTCCAAGTGTCCACGTATAAGTATAACACAGAGTATCTTAATAAAATGGTTAATCAGAGTACAAGAGGATTGTGCATTATTGCAAATAACACTTTAATAAGTAATGCTTCAAAGTGTCATACCTCTACGTGTTTTTATAAACTAACAAATGCTTCGTGTTTTAATAGCAAGATCCATTGCTTGGAAAATTTTGCCACAGATTTTATTTCAATCAACCAGACAATAAGTCAGTTGTATGATGCTTACGTCAACTTGTTGATCAGTTTAGAAGCAGCAGAAATTAACTTCATCAGAAGCAAAGCTAACATAACAAGGCTTGAAGAAAGGATTGCACTATTGGAAAATTTGTATTTCGTTGCAAACGAAAGCTATCATAACAGCGTGAGAGCAAACGCAAGCCTCTTTGATAAAATTAAGCCGTTAATTTCTTCATTTAACACTCATCATTCTGTGACTAATCTAATTTTAACAAATATTTCATTCCATGCTTCACTACATAATCACACTCCCACTCGTTTGCCAGTCATAATAACCTATTCGATTCAAGCTATGACTGGTGAGGTATACTTGCTTAATGACACCATTAACTTTTTACAGCCAAGGCAGCACATTTTCAGACAACTCTCAAGCAATATGCTAACATTCTACATAGCATCAGTTGGACAAAATATGAGAGCTAAGCGAGAGGTTGTATCTGAGACTTCAGTTGTAAACAGCAAGCATAGGTTTCATGAGACTTGCATAAAAATTAAAGGTCAGTGTTATTTCTTTGATGCATGAACATTTTTTATGTTGTGGAATTGTTGAGCTGGTTATGATAAAATAGAATTTTCTTTACTAATTTTGTTCCAGTACTATGATACAAACTTTAGGCAAATTTTGTCAAAAATAACATTAAAATTTTTTGGTGCTATAATTTTTCCTGATGAACTTTGGTCAAATTTGACCAAAAAAAATTTTGAGAATTCTTGATTTTTATAATTTTTTCTGATACATATACATGTTCTAATGTTGTGTAGAAAGTTTGAACTAATTCCAAATTAAATTTGGATTTTTTACAGATTTTTAAATTTGCTCCAAAATTGGGCGAAAGTCCCTGTACTATGGTACAGGGATTTTGGTCAAATTTGACCAAAAATAAAATTTTGAAAATTCTCTATTTTTATAATTTTTTCTGATACATATACATGTTCTAATGTTGTGTAGAAAGTTTGAGCTAATTCCAATCAAATTTGGATTTTTTACAGATTTTTAAATTTGCTCCAAAATCGGGCGAAAGTCCCTGTACTATAGTACAGGGATTTTGATCAAATTTGACCAAAAATAAAATTTTGAGAATTTTCCATTTTTATAAATTTTTTTGATACATATACATGTTCTAATGTTGTGTAGAAAGTTTGAGCTAATTCCAATCAAATTTGGATTTTTTACAGATTTTTAAATTTGCTCCAAAATTGGGCGAAAGTCCCTGTACTATAGTACAGGGATTTTGGTCAAATTTGACCAAAAATAAAATTTTGAGAATTCTCTATTTTTATAATTTTTTCTGATACATATACATGTTCTAATGTTGTGTAGAAAGTTTGAGCTAATTCCAATCAAATTTGGATTTTTTTACAGATTTTTAAATTTGCTCCAAAATTGGACGAAAGTCCCTGTACTATAGTACAGGGATTTTGGTCAAATTTGACCAAAAATAAAATTTTGAGAATTTTCCATTTTTATAAATTTTTTTGATACATATACATGTTCTAATGTTGTGTAGAAAGTTTGAGCTGATTCCGATCAAATTTAGATTTTTAATGAATTTTTAAAGTTGCTCAATAATCATGTATAATTATAGTGACAATAGAATCAATGGGTTTTGCTTGTCACAGATTGGTTGAAAGTTTCTATACAGGGTCTTTGGCCAAATTTTGTCGAAAAAGATTCTAAGAGAATTCTCTTTTTTATTTTTATTTTCTCATCTGTAATGATAAAATTTTTGTATTCAATAATGTAATTTGCCTTATGTCTGTACATACAGGTATGAGCAACTATATTGATGAGATTAAGACAGAGCTTCAGGAGTCATTTAACTCTTTTAACGACAGCATTAATAGCATTAAAAATGCTACAATGAATTCTTGTAGTAACATATCCGAGAAGAATCTACCAACAATAGTAGCAGTAGAACATAGTTACCTAAAATCTGAGCTAATCAAACAACACAGTATCCTAACTGCTTTCCTTTTAAAGAACTCCTTTGCGTCCTGGCAGTCTCATATGAAAGCAATCCACAACAACGTCAGCCAGTTTGAGCTCTTTGGTTGCTCAAGCTTCTTTGATTGCTTGGGTAGTATACTGAGCCAGTTTGAGGACATTCTCGAAGATACACCAAATGGATTGGCTCAACTTGACGAGCTGAGGAGCATAAAGGACAAAGTACTACAAGTTGCTTACAATAAAAGCTTGTCTTTTAATGAAGCATCTTCTGCATTAGGGCAGCTTCATTTAAGCTTAGAGGCACGTGCAGTATTAGAGCAATGGTGTGTAGAGCCGCCTTTTATACTCTCCCATCCAACCTCATCTGTCACTGCTACAGTCAATTCATCAATTCTACTATCATGCATGGCAAACTCTGTGCTTCATTTGAGATATCACTGGATCAAAGATGATATTATTATACCGGATTCGAGCTCAAATAGCTTAGAATTGATGAACTTACAATTGGCAGATAAAGGAGAATACAAATGCGTTGTAGTTAATGATGCTGGTGCAACTACCTCATTACCTTCAATAGTAGACATTGCTAGTGAGCCAGTACTAAACCTCAGTCTCCCTAAATATGCATACATACAAGAAGGTGATAAAAATGGCTATCTTTTGACATGTGATGCATACGGCATCCCTGCTCCAGGCTGGACCTGGTTTTATAAACGGAATGAAGCTGATGATTGGAATCTCTTACCCAATTGTGACACTAATGTATTAATTTTAAGTAAACCTCAACTTGAGGATAATGGATGGTATCAATGCATGGCCTCTAATGCTATTGGCAATGTGACCAGTAATCCAGTTCATGTTATTATACTGCCTACTAGAAGCTCCAGCATACAATACACTTTTACATTAATTTTGAGCCAATCAAGAGAGGAATGGGCTAAAGCAATCATTGATTTAGTGGCTAATGCATCATCAGCTCCTGTAGTATCTAGTAGTTTCTCAGCCTTTAGTGGTGACTTATCTTCACTGCATTTTACTCTCAAGAGTGTTATACCTGATTATAATCCTTTGACTGAGTTTGATATGATAACAGGAAACCTGTCTACAAGCTTAGCTCAGTTAGAAAAAAGCAGAGAGTCTGTGGTTACTTTCCTTCATGGGAGCAACAACCTGTTGGCATTTACTGCTGGAGGCAACACATTTAGTGTTTCATTAGTGAATTATACTATTGGGCCAAGACACTTCACTTGTCCTGATGGATATGAATTAGACTCCGATCACATACAATGTGGTACGTTCTCACCTTGTATTTCATTGTAATCTATAATTGCTAATCCTTTTATTATGTAGTTGCTTGCAGTCCTGGTACTTATAGTCATGTCATTGCTAGCTCATTCATTGGCATTGGAAACGGTGAATACATTGAGGAACAGTTTCCACAGTGTGCTGAATGTCCACTGGGCTCATATCAAGAGAATGATGGACAATCTCATTGTGTATCTTGTCCAGTTTATCAAAGCACTGTTAGATCAGGCTCTAAAAGCATTGCTGAGTGTCAAAGTATGCAAAACAAGGCTATGCATTGTGATGTTATGTTTATTTTAGGACTCTGTTCTCCACATACCTTCTCTTTATCTGGATTTGAGCCGTGCCTCTCATGCCCTCCACTCCATTACCAGTTGCATTATGGACAACAGGATTGTCTACCTTGTACTACTAACAGCACAAACATTGATATTTGCTTTATTCCAGTAACATCCAGCTCTCCTACAGTCATTAGTACAACAATGACCAGTGAGGACACATTTTGACTATTAATTACAATTATTTCTATTATACTATAATAGGTACATTCGAAGTTGTAGCAAGTTCTAGTGGGGAATCAAATGCAGGTCCAACTGGGGTTTCAGCAGGGGTAGGTATCAGCCATTACAAATAGCATATATTTTGATAATAATTGTAGGCATCACAGAGTTTTCTTAATACAACGACAATGGCAATTATTGGAGGGGTGGTTCTGCTACTCCTGATATTAATAAGCAAGTTAAAATGTATCACTTTGTAGTGTTAAAGTTTCTTTTAGTTTTAGTTATAATTGTCATCGTATCGTTGAGGATAAAGAAGAAGAAGCTCCAACATCAATCAAGGAGTATTGCTCCCCAACCAAATCTCGAGTTAAATGCTTACGACAGTGTCAGTCATGACTCAAAACAAGCTGATATGGTTTACGATGATGTCAAGTCAAAACTCGGAGACAAACCACCCTGCATGAACAGTGATCCCATTTACGAAGAGCTTCCTGATGTACCTGATCAAAGGAATGAACTATGGGGACCTCCCCCACTTCCTTCTTTTCCTCCTACTGCTATAAATCCAATTTTCACTCCTCTTTCTCCTCCTCCTGCTGATGATGACGACGACAGGATTACTGATGATTATATAAAGATGGCCAGTCCAAGAGTTACTGGTAGCTACATCAAGCCTGACTATGAAAACATTAAGGACGCTCTTAATAATTGATTTCAGCTTGTTTTTGTGCTCAGTTGGTTTTCATGCATGTCTTGTTTTTTATTTTTTGAAATGATAGTATAGTTTAATGTTAATCATTATCATGATCATGAATATTACTCAGCCCCACCCAAAGACGCATTACTAGGCAAGTTCAGCATGCAACGACCTAAGTCTTCAAGAACCGGACCCGATCTGCTGGTTAGTTCACAAAAACAAACCATACTCATTTTCTTTGCCTTTATCAATATATAGACCTCGCAGTTTGCAAAGTCAGCAAGAGCTGGGTATATACCACTTGCAAAGAGATGCCTAGCCAATGGAGCTCATGTTGATGCCTGCATTGATGTTAAAGTATTAGGCTAATGTATCATAATTACATAATGATATTATCTATAGTATCGCGATACAGCTTTACACAGGGCTGTGATGAATGACCACTTTCCTATGACAAAGTTACTCTTGGAAGCCGGTGCCAATCCAAACACCAGTGACAAGGTAGTAATTATGGTTTGGCAGCATCTAACTTGCTAATACAGGATATGGAAAGACCATTGCACTGGGCGGCACAGAGGGGAAATATACACATTGCCAGACTGCTGCATCAATTCGGTGCAGAGCTAAATGCAATGAATAAAGTTAGTGAAAAAACTTACCACTCTATTTAAGACCTACGCTAATTACTTTGAAATATCTAGTATGGATGGACTCCACTGCATAAAGCTGCCCTTCATGGTAAAACAAGAATGACAAAGTTATTGCTGGAGGAATTAAATGTCGACAGCAATGCAAGAGACAGGGTATGAAATTGAATATATAGTTTTAGAACTGGGTGGAGCTGCATGCAATAAGATGTTAATTAGAGTCTGTGGTGTAGCTAAGCAAAAATAGATCAGGGAACATGGGAATTTATAATTAATTTTTGTTGTTTATTTATAGTGGGGGGACACAGCGTTGCACAAAGCTTGTCACATGGGACATCCTGAAGTTGTCCAATACCTAATAATGAACGGCCTTATACCAACGACTTGTACAAACAGACGCAAGAATACAGCAGATCTGGAAATACCCTTCAACAATCCTAACAGAGACATAATACTACACATGTTTCAAAACCTTGGATTTGTCAGAATGCAATCAATGCACATTGGTAAGACGTTTTTTACAACAAATTTGATGATTTATCTTTATTTTTATACAGATATTGAAGGAGACATATTTGAGAATCAAGGCAACTCTTATGTTCAAGAAATTGAATCAGAAGAGCAAGAGGGTATACTACAATAATGCATTTCTTTTCAATGATAATATTATTATTATTTTTGTTTCTAGAAAGTGAGAGTGAAGAGGACCAGGTACCAAGAGAAGATTTCGATTTCGAAGGTATCAATCATAATTTCATAGCTGTTGTGTATTTATATGTTTTCTCTGTTTATAGAAGATCCAAAAACCGAAACTAGATCAAAATGCTGCAAATGTAATGTACTATAACAAAATTGAAATTACTAATTGTGTAAATAAGTTCATTAATTGAAACTAATCCCTCGTAGCCTCAATGCGTCTCATAACAAGAGCCAATAGATCATGTCTTAAGCATAAAAGGAGACCTTCCTTTAAGTCCTTCAAAGTTACAGCTGCTCCTCTTGATTCTATTATCTCCTTTAAAGCTGTATAATATTGCTCCTCTAGCAAAGGCTCTTCTCTAATAATGGCCTCTATTCTTGTGCTATCCATGCCCAAGTAAGAAAAAAATTGTTTAAAGTGATTCTTGGTCATTCGCTGGCATATATCTAAGACAGCAAACTTGTGTCCTCTGTTTCTTGTGTTAATGGGTTGACTCCATAGTGAACCTATAAAGTAACCCTCTTATTAAATGTAGTGGTACAATCATTATGTAGATACTTTTGTATAATCTTTTGTATTCAAATGATTCTTCCCTTTGGCTTTCTTCGCTTGACGATAAATGAGACTCAGAGCTAACTAATGAAGGTTTAACTTCTAATTCTACACCTAAGATCAAATAAAGATGGTATGTTCCGCTATTAAGTATGAGGGATAAGGGGTATGCATATTAAAAGGATCTAATGTCGTTATGTCTCACCATATTCATTAGCAAGTTCCATTGCTAACCCGCCCATTCCTTTAACTCTTTGTAAGTGACCCAGTAATATCTGTATACACTCCATTTCATCTTTTCCTTCCACTTCTTTCTGCCATTTTCTAATTGTTTCTAATGCACACTGCCTGTGTTTCACTCTTTCTGGGGATATGCTTTGATTGCTAGTTGATATTTGAAATCTTCCTCTATAATCCAGACCTAAGAAAGAGTACAACTGGGCCCATTTAGGGCCTACTGAATCTATTATCTTTGGTATCAGGTCCTCCATGATTAGTTGACATAGAATAAATCTAGATCTTTGATCACCTTGGCTATTGCCATGATCAGGCATTAACTCAAACAGCTAGCAACCGCATCATCAGCAATTTCCGGCTAGCTAGAGATAGGGATTGGAAACCACCGTTCCCGGCAGGAAATGCTAGTTGTCAATACCGTATTGTTTTTAAAATAAATTTCTATTTAAAGAGATAAAAATGTTGAAAAACACAAGAAAATGGAGGGATGAAGCAAGGATGTTGGAACTTTCCGGGTATTTTTTTATTCTTCCTTGACTTTTATGTTAACAAAAATGATTTCTTATCATTATTTTGATAATGAGAAAGCATCTTGCTCTTGCTTGATGAGATGGATCCTAAAAGAAGTGCTGCATTAGTGTCAATAGACTGTCTGATCATTATGATGCCTAAATTGTAGGAAATGAAGCTTTATTTACTTATACAGTGAAATGAAGATATAATTATACCTTATTGCCCTCAACATGTGGATGATGTATTTATATGTGAAGTTTCAAAGCTGCAGCATCTATTGTGATTGAGTTAAGGGTACAAAACAAAACTAGTTTTTAGAACAGTTTTTAGCTCATAACTTTTCAACACTACATTATTTTTCTTTAAAAACTTGACATTGCCCTCCAGTTTGACATTGTTTATTTGTTTATAAACCTTACAGTCAAATTTATCAAGAACCTTTTGTGTAAGAGGTACAAAACTAAAATCCTGTGGACAATAACTTCAAGCAGGAGAATTCACGGCACAATTAAACGCATTTAGTTGTAATGGACAAAAACTACACATCAATAAATAGAGTAGGTCTTAAACTTTACAGGTAGATCATAAAAACAGCTCGCTCTGGCACTCATCTAGATTTACAAACAACAAAGGAAAAAGACTCTTCCTCCATTTGCTCATTTGTGGGGCAACTTGCATACGTTGCTAGGATCTACGCATCATCTACATGTAATAATTCCTGTGGTTTTTTATACTCAACTATCTATGATTTCGATTAGCTTACTGAACCACGCCCTAATACTAGATTAGCCAATAGCCATGGAGAGCAACACTGACCATACCGGGTCTAAGAATCATGAATTGGTATTGAAGCTCTTCAATGCATCATTTAGCTATCGTGAGAAAAAGATCATAAAGTCAGAACTCTTTGGAGAAAGTGAGGAACAAGAAATATCCACATATATAACCCATGATACAATCCAATGAGTTGTTTACATTGTTTGGGATATTACTGAACAAGAACACACATATAATAAGCTTTTGGATGAGAAAGTTGTGGTTTAAAACATCTTTATTGTTACGATTGTGTTGATTCTATATCTTTTCTGTTGTTAAAGGTTATCCTGACGATGACTTAACATCTGAATCATGTTTAAGGATTATCGCCACTCTACGACCATTTGCTCGTACTAAACTAAAAGCTTTAAAACTCATACCCCACCTCTCAAATCATTTCAGAATATCCGAACAAGATCAGGTAGAATTAGTAGGTGAGTAAGTTGACATTATCCAAGAGCAGATCTAATCAGCTACCCCACTGATAATAGTGTCTACATACAATTGTATGGATAACACTATTAGTGTATTAAGCCTTATTCAGTTCTAGTTTATACAGATAATGAAAGTAGGGGTGTCTTAAAAGCCACAATCCTCCTCCTCTATAATAATTTTAAAGAATTCCTTATTTATATAGATAAACCTGAAATTCGACAAGCCATGCATCTACTGGACTGCATCAACATCAAGTCCTCATTTCCCATCTCTGCTCTGTACATAGCACTCCTTGATTCATCCAGTGAGGAGGATGGACCTCCAACACATCATCAGTTAGCTTGTGATCTCGCTAGAATTGGTAATAAGAATGTAATAGTTATTGTACTTTTTTGCTGTTAATTCATTTAATATTGTTTATCTCTGTAAGCTATCCAAACATGATATAAATGGACAGTTAGTATAATAGATTTAGTGTCTTAAATATCCTATAGGAAAAAGTGAATTTGCACAATTCAGTTTGAAACTGTATGATGAAAGTTTGACTGACTCTGCAAGCCCAGGTATATATATTAACTATTAATTTTAACAGTTTAAGTTGTTCTTTTCACAATGTAGCTGTACTAGAGCAAAGCATTGAAGCTTTTAAAGACATTCTAATAACTGTTGATCAGGCTAAGAGCATTGCTGAAAGATTGAACATGGAGGCTGTACCTTCACTTAATCTTACTGAAGTCAGTTTATTAAAAAATTAAAAAATAAAAATAAAAACAATTTTTACCACAAAAAATGTTGCAAGAATTGCATTATGCCCACATAACAAGTAACAATTGTAAATCTAATGTATCTTGATATAAAAGAACAGACCACTTACACAGTGCTTTGTATCTGTAGGTACTTAGATCATGGAGAGCAAAGAAAGGACAATGGTCTACTATAGAAGATGTGGTAGAGGCTCTTGTATTGACCCAAGGAATAGGAAGATACCTTATTCTCCTGGAACTGCCGTCTTATCCTCAACTAAAGGAATTTTTTTTAGGATTAAAGAGACAGTGGATAAGCATTGCTATATACATAGGGATTGATGAAGCAGATTTACAAAAATATATATCTTGTTCTGAAAATCATTCTGAGCAATTGGACGTGTTTTTAAATAACTGGACATTGCCAGATTGTGGACAAAAGACAGTTGTGATACTTCATAAATTGCGAAGTATTGCTGGAGTGATGGTTGGAGCAGCTGCAAAGGCTGGGCCACCTGATAAACTTCAAAGAGGTACATGTAATTCCTGGAATTATTATCGTTATTCATAGGGCACATAGTTATAATAACTAATACCATGGAGTGACTGGGGGTACCCTGTGTATACTTGTAGTAATATTTGGAGTAACTTTTAAAAATTGTAAAAAAATTCAATTTCGATCAGAATCAGCTCAAACTTGCTAGACAGCATAAAAACATGTATATGTATCAGAAAAATTTATAAAAATGAAGAATTCTCTCCTAGCCATTTTTGATGAAATTTGGCCAAAAGTCCCTGTACTATAGTACAGGGACTTTGGCCCAATTTTTGAGCAACTTCAAAAATTCATAAAAAATTCAAACTTGATCGGAATCAGCTCAAACTTGCTACACAGCATAAGAACATGTATATGTATCAAAAAAAATTATAAAAATGGAAAATTCTCTCTGAGCCATTTTTGACAAAGTGCCCTGTACTGTAGTCCATAGTCTTTAGCCAAATGAAACTACTTTACAGTGCTATTATTATTATTATTATACGTGTATATTTGCTGTAGGTATATCACTTGAAGCTAGTGGTGGTCCTTATTCAATGCCAGCCCAAACAGTATCTAGTAGCATCACAGTACCTCCTCTTCTGCAGCAACAATCATCTTCAATGCCTTTGTCATCCCTACCAGTCACTATTACTGGATCTGTTGAAATAGCTACAGTGACCAGCAGTCTAGAGCCAGGCCTAGTGACAACAAGAGAAACAATGAGTTTACCTCCAGAAACTTTGTCATCAAAAAATATTCAATCCTCCTCGCGGTCATTCCTAAAAACTAATAGAAAACATCGTTTCAATGTATTGAAACCAGGAACAGAATCTGTGTCAACTTATAACGGACTTAAAGAACACCAGCCCATGACTGTTGATGAGGTCAGTTTTGTATTTATTATACATGGTCACATTGTTTTGTTAAGCAGCAAGACATATCTGACCTTTAGATATAGCTATGTGTTGTATAATTATCCTAGTATTGTTGCAGTTTATATTTCCCTTTTCCTGCTTAGGTTCCGTCTGATAAATCAAGAGATTATTCAGGTAGCATACCATAAGTAATGAGATCCTTTATCATTTACTATTACACAGATCCCATTACGTGCAGCAGTGATTTATCAAGTTACAAGCAGAGACCAGCCACAGCAACTATCAGTGAGAGAGTGACAGAGAGTGAATGGCCTCAGCCTATCCAGCAATCACACAAGACCTTAGTATCACTTCCGTATGCTCAAACTGCCAAGTCTCAAATCTACTTCACTGCTCCAGTTTCTGTGACTAACACAACTTGGAGTGCATCCCACCCTTCTTCTACTAGCTCTCCTTCGCAGTCTTACATCACATCAAGATCTCCTGATGAGTCTCTTGGTGAAGAAGATGAAGAAAGTACAACTAAATACAGACCTCCTAACTTTAATGGAACACCTCCTCCTCCTCCTCCACCACCTTTTGGAGAGAAGCAGTTAGCTGATATTTCTGATTCTGCTAGTCCACACGATACTAATATAAGTGTTGAAGCACCAGTTAGCATCAGTGATGAGGAAGCAACTCCTCAAAGTCATCTTCCTACTACTGGAGGAGGAGATAAAGGTCACTTAATAATTGCTTCTACTGTACTTGTAGTTTAATTCCTGATGCTTCATTTTTTCTTCATTGTAGGTGCTGCGAAAAATTTAAGAGATGATCCATCTTCTGAGTCCAGTGGTTCATCAACACCTGATGATGTTGAAGTATCAGTTAAAACCAAACAGCAGTCAGACGCTGAGATTATTTTAGTACCTAATCCATCAGATATAATATGCTCACTGCGTCAAGGAGGAGTGGCAGAATTTAGAGCTTTTTTGGAGGGACTTGAGAACCCAGTAGAAGAAATAAACAGAATGGTACCAAAAGATTTAGCAGAGGTGTATATATACTGCTATTTATCCAGTATTGTTGTCATTATTTATGTTTGGCATAGGATGGTAGTGTAGTTCTTCACATAGCAGTGAGACTCCGTATGAGAAAACATGTTGAGTTATTGTTAGACTTTGGAGCTGATGTTGATCAAATAGATCCAACTAATAAAGGAATGACTGCACTTCACATTGCATCAGAACTTGGGGACAAAGATATAATGAAGCTACTTCTAAAGAAAAATGCTACAGTTGATATTAGAGATAATGTAAAGCATTTTTGTTTACCAATATACACTAATGATACTTATAAATAATGCCCTTTAATGAGTAGTGTCTTTTGTAAACCAGACTATTATTATTCTTCTTATATGTAGAATCAATCAACTCCACTGTTACTGGTTGATATAGACAGTCCTGAATGTGTTAGTCTCCTTTTGGATGCTGGTGCTGATATAGGAGCTGCCAACAAACAGAACTATACTCCATTGGTTATAGCAGTTGTTGCCGGCTGTGATAATATTGTGAGAATGTTATTAGAGAGGAATTCTTCACCACACATTGTTAATCACATAAGAGTAAGCACTATTAGTAAGAATATCTGTATGTAATAATTAATTTTAAACATTAAATTAACACAACTCTTTTGCCAATTGAAAATTTATAGAAATGCAGTGGTCCTGCAGGAGAAGAGTATTGTGTGACTCCATTAGCAGATGCTGCAGCAAGAGGGTACATTCATATACTAAAAATGCTCATAGAGAAAGGAGCTAATTTAAACTCTACAGGAGTAATAGGAAAGGTAAGCATATACAGTACAAATTTGTCATCAAAGCCTTGTTTGTGTTAGCCTCCAGATAAATCAGAAGGACATATTTCTCCTCTTCTTTTACCTTGTACGTCAAATCTTGTTGATGTTGTACAGTACATAACAAGACACCGTTTGTTCATATGTGATGTTGATTATGTAAGTTACTATAATTGATTGTAACAATGTACTAATTGATGTCTTTGTAGATAGCAGATCCTCTCACTGAAGCTCTTTCAAAGGGACACATTCGATGTGCTCAATTGATATGGGAGAGATATGGTGGATTGGTAAGGCATGTTGTGGTGATTATGAATGTTAGCATCTTGTTGTATAGAGAAAGCTATTTGAGGAGAGTAGAGACTTCCCTGCTCTTAATAAATGTCTTCAAAAGTATCTAAGCAGTCAAGCTGATGCTACAAGTACAAGTACAAGTCCTGCAGTATTAAATGTTGCTGATGCTACAAGTACAAGTACAAGTCCTGCAGTATTAAATGTTGCTGATGCTACAAGTACAAGTCCTGCAGTATTAAATGTTGCTGATGCTACAAGTACAAGTCCTGCAGTATTAAATGTTGCTGATGCTACAAGTACAAGTACAAGTCCTGCAGTATTAAATGTTGCTGATGCTACAAGTACAAGTCCTGCAGTATTAAATGTTGCTGGTACTACAAGTACAAGTCCTGCAGTATTAAATGTTGCTGATGATACAAGTACAAGTACAAGTCCTGCAGTATTAAATGTTGCTGATGCTACAAGTACAAGTCCTGCAGTATTAAATGTTGCTGACGATACAAGTACAAGTACAAGTCCTGCAGTATTAAATGTTGCTGACGATACAAGTACAAGTCCTACAGTATTAAATGTTGCTGATGCTACAAGTACAAGTCCTGCAGTATTAAATGTTGCTGATGATACAAGTACAAGTCCTGCAGTATTAAATGTTGCTGACGATACAAGTACAAGTCCTGCAGTATTAAATGTTGCTGACGATACAAGTACAAGTACAAGTCCTGCAGTATTAAATGTTACTACTGGAGATACTGCTACTGCTAGTGAGAGTGTTGCTTATAATGACTTGTCTGCTCTTGCTGAAGGTGATGAGAGTGAATCATTATCAGCTCCGGTAACAGTGTCTATGATGAATGACTTCTCTGATATTGAGCCTACTCAACCTGGTGGTCAAAACAACGAAGAAATGTTTGTTAATAATTTGTCAGATATTGAAATGCCACCACCTCCAGTCACTAAAGTAGAGGAAAGTCTTTCTACATTATCTACAACTAATCAGTTATCAGTTCCTCCTGTAGTTAGTAGTGGCCCAATTCCTCCTGTAGTTAGTAGTGGCCCAGTTCCTCCTTCCATTCCTTTACTCTCTACTCCATCTCTTCCAAAACCAGCTGCTTCTTTCCCTGACTTGTCTTTCCCAACTTCAACACACACTCAACCAATCATGACTTCTTCATTACCTCCTCCTCTATCAACTCAACCAATTCTTCTTCCATCAACATCAGCTCACATCAGTGGAACTCCAGTACAATCATTACCACCATCTACTGAAAGTAGAATTTCACCTCCTAACATGCTCTCCTCAGTTGATGATGACCAGCCTCCTCCTAGTGGCAATGAAGAATATATTGTTAATGATTTAGGAGGAAACTTTACCCCTAGTCTTATCCCAGCCCGCCCTGCCTCTCCTGAGCTTTTTCTACCGAGACCAACAAGTTTAGGAGCTATTCCTGGTGCTAGTGCCAGTGGAGGTGGTCCTAGGACTCTTTCACCATCAGCTCCTACCAGTCCTCCTCATAAAATATCTTATGAGACAAATGAGTCTGGAACCGATACAGATAATCCTTTTGAGCCACGTCCCAAGACACCGCCTCCTCCTTCTATTCCTCCAGTCTCATCCCAAGCTCTTGCTAGCGGCAGCTCTGAATTAGGAGGACTGGTATTGATTCTTATTGTTAGTCAATATCGTTCATTTTTTGTTATTGTTAGGACGCATTCGGAAACTTGCGACATTTTCAGACTTCAGCTGTTGAAGTCCTTCACGACTTTGCCCAATATTTAATACTTGCTTGTCTTCAAAGACACTCGGTAATGTCAATAAAATAATTTATGTTATATGCAAACTCTCTAGCAAGAAGATATAATCAAAAAAGCAGAGGAAATAGGTGAAACAACACTTGTTCATTTTTTCTCAAGATACTTTTTTGACTCGGCTGTATGTTCATGTATTATTATAATTTGAACTAATGTCCACAATTATGCAGGCAACTACTAGAGGTGGTGAGTTTTTCTCTGAGTTCATTAAAGGCTTTCCATCTCCACTGAACTTCCTACTTGCTGCTCGTTTTTGCCGTCAAGTATGAGATATGAACAATGATGGAGAACTTTTATAACAACTTCTCCCTTTAGAGTGAATTTGAGGGAGTCTTGAGAGAAATGGGAAGAGAAGGATTCCCCGATCAACTCATGCTTGCCTTTCACCAATTCCAAGACTCTGACAATGTACCATGGACTGGTCAGTTACCATTATATTGTACTACTATAGTAGCATTCACTTCTTATTTTGTAGGCTCTGAACTGATATCGTCTTTGTTTCGACAACAGTTTTCTGTTGGTACTCCGTTTCCAGCAGAAGCAATGTTAGAAAGGACTTTGATGAGGCCTCAAGCTTCTGCAACACCTCCTGCTGCTGCTGCTACTCCTGAAGCTGCTAATTTTTCAGGAAAAGGTATTATTATAATAATTACTATAGTTATCCCTATGTTAATTGTGTACAGGCTATACACTGGGTGGTGGAGAAGAGAAGAAGCATAAAGATTCTGATAAAAAATTAGAAGTAGACACAAATGCTTTCACTAGTGATAAAGGCTATGATTCAGCTGCTGACAAGTCTACTGACAAGAAACAACGAATTAAGAAGGAAATAAGATTTGAAGTATCTCCTGGCCATGCTATAACAGGTACAGATACCGATGTAGTGATTTTTTTATACTTTAATTCATAGAGAATAATTTTAATGATCTTGATGATCCCTATCCTTCTGAAAAACGTAAGTTGTGGGTAATGTATAGGATTGAGTGTATCATTAACATTATCATATATTATTGTGGAGTGAATACACTTGATATTTTATGAATAGAACGTGTGGTTAGCAGTGATGAAGGTGACCAGCAAGTGGCTGTCCCTACAACAGTAAGTCCTCCAGTAGCAGCTACTAGCAGTTCAGGAGCTACAAAACCAACCCATTCTTCTGACTCATTAAAAGAAGAACAGTTACAAAAAATAAGAGAAGCAAGATTAAAGAAATTAACGAAAGATACGAGTTCTGAAGAGGAACCTATGCAACCAATTGACATAAGAGGTAGATAAGATATTTGGGATTTTATACATTGCAATTGATGGGGATATGAAAAATATTCTTTTCATAATGAAATGTTACTCACTTAATATTACATTATACTTGATACAAGTTGGGCTTGGTTTGGGGGTGTGATAATAACTGAGTCTTCAACAAGTTGTTTTTCTTATTCTATTGTCTCATTGCTGCAGTTGAAACTATAAAGACAGGAGGAAAGAGTGGACCAGAGACTCTTGAGCCAGTAACTGATACAGCTATTGCAGCAACTGTTACTGCTACTGTACAACCAGCAGCAAAACCTGAGGCAAAACTAGCTTCTCAGTCATCAACCTCTTCACTAGAAGAAGAAGAAGAAGATATAGAAGTAATGTTAAAATCAGGACAGGAAAAAGAAGATACAGAAGCAATGTTAAAATTGGGACAGGCAAAATATTTATCAACAGAAAGGACAGAGATTTCAGTAAGGCCTCCAACCACAACTGGTAAGAATTAAGAATTGTTTTATGCAACATTGGTAATTTTTGTCTTATTGTAGCTCGCACTAGTGACGAACGTGTTCATAGAGCAATTAAAACTTCCACACCTTCTGCCGTACAGAAGTCAAGTTTGTCACCTTCTGTATCTCCAATATCAAAGAAAAGAGCATCGGCAGTACCAACAAAAACTGGAGTATTGTCAGTTGTACCTTCCAGTCGATTGCCAAAAGGAGGATCAAAAACACTTTCCCCCACAGCATCCACTCATTCCTTGACTGATAAAAGGAGACTACCTTCATCTCTAGCTCCTTCTTTTAAAACTAAAGCAACCACAACTGGGGCTGAACCTAAATTAAGAGGAACACTTGCTAGCTCTAAAACTACTAGTGCAGGTGGAGCAGCCATTAATAAACAAGCTAAAACTAAACAGGATCATCAAGGAGTCACTTCAAAAGTATCTCCTCCTGTTAGAGGAAAGAAACTTACTCCTCCTACAGTTGTAAAGGCTCCTAAATCTAAGGCCACACCTGAAACTCAAAGAAGAAAGGAGTTAATATCAAAGCGCTCCACTAGTACATCAGCCAGTCAGCCTTTATCAAGGAAACCTGATGAATTTTTAAAAGAAAGTACACCAGGAGCCACACCATTTTCTCAAAAGTTTGACATTGTGCAGCATGGCCCTATAACTCCCTTTGGGTCAGTAGCTTTAATCCCATTACCAGTACTAAAAATCAGTCTACCAGGAACAATCATTGATTCTCCTGATAAACTCTTTAAAGATTTAGCCCAGAACCTAAACAACTGGAAGATGCTTGGGCGTTACTTAGAAGTAGATGATCAGCAGCTTGCCATGATAGCACGAGTCTCATCAGATACTGCTGAAAGAGCTAGACTAATGTTAAAAGGATGGCTGAGCCAGTCTAAGAGTTTAGGCACATACACTAAACTAGGAGAAGCATTAGTTAACTGCATGAGAGATGACCTTGTCATTATATTAGAGCAACACTCAAACTTACCAATAGCTGGTGGCACTGGTGAACGTGTTACTATTGAAGAGTTAGGATCATCAACACAAGACATAAAAGAACATCACTCCACTGATGCTGATGATGATGAAGGAAGTGATGATTCAAGTATAAAAATGACTGTTCCTATTTCTACGTTGCTAATGATGCTTGGCCCACTAATTGAAGAAAAAAAGAAAGAGGGTAAAGCTTCGAAAGTAACAGTATCGCTTAAGTTTCATTGATTGACTAAAACACAATTCATAATCTTACATTATCACAACGCATTAAAAGTAATTCTTGAATAGCACGTGACGCATGCATGGAGACAAAAGTACTGTATCTTATAATGATAATTATTTATGATTCTAATAACTTCCCAATTTTTGAAAATAAAATTAATTGCTTATTTTAAATTTCTTCAAAAGTATCTTTATGCTTAACTGCCATTCCAAATGGTCCCGGCTCCCCATTCTTGAAAGCCATGTTAAAGGGATAGCCAATAAAAAGTTGATCAAAATACACAGTATGGTAAATGTATTGAGCAATAGACATGTCACAGCAACACTGATCAGTGCTAGTCCTATCTAAGCAGTGAACAAAATAAGCTAGACTGGCCAGCATGGATGCTCTGGTCCCCCCAAGCACTCCGACGTTTAAAAATCCATGAAGTCTCATGGACTCCTCAATCATCCAAGCATTACCATTTGCATAGCACTTTTGAAAATCTCTCCTTTGTATTGAGTTTGTGTATAGTATAAATCCAGTGTCTTTCCCAACGTAAAAGTAGTCCCCAATTGCTTTCATTATTAGTGCTGGATCAGTTAGGAATTCAACGTCTTTAACATCATTGACCATAACCATATTGACATCTTTGTTCCTTAGTAAGTATTCGTACACAAAATAGAACCTTTGGTCGTTGGGCGATTTCTTGTTCCTCGATTTTACTTTCAAAAAAATGGGTTTGGGATTATTAAATTTTTCTATTATCCTTTCTACAAACATTGGGTGTAGGTTATCGTGAAATATTACGCTCTGAAGTCCAAACTTGTAGCTGCTTTTTATCCATTTTTGCATGTATGAGAATCTGTTATTCAAAACTTTCCTGTGATAAAAATTATCAGTTAAATGTGAAAAGTAAGCGCCAATGGTGAAATTTCTTGAAGCTCTTAAGTCGCTAGTATACTTCTCTTCCCACTTTCTGATGTGTCTAATAGCATCACTATACTTTGTTCTCTTTAATGAAAGAGCTGAAGGAGAGTCAAATGAATAAAATGAACAATTCTTGTCATTTCGAGACATTATTATGTTCTCTAATACTTTAATGACATCTTTGATGTACCACTGGTTATCCCCATTGACTGGTAGGGGTGCATTAAGATCTCTCCACTCACCAATGAACGGTGGTAGCTTTATGACTGATCCCGAAAACTCTGAGTGCAAGTTTCGGTATGCATTAAAAACATTCTCTAATGACTGGAACCATTGTCTATAAATAAAATTTAATTTTTTGTAATCGTTTCCTTTGTTTCCAACAGAAAGAAACAGGAGCTGTGATTTAAACTCCCTTCTGATAACTTCAATGACACGTAGGAACAATTTCATGATGATAGTTCCATAGCTTGCACTGTGAGTTACATTACCGGGTCCTAAATTCACCGGATGCAAGAGTAGTGTTGGTACATATATGATTGTTGAAGGTGATGCCTTTTTAAGTTCTGCCTGCAATTTAGCTTCATCTTTAAACTCAATGATAAAGGCATTGATATGTTTATTATTTACAAGCTCAGTCCATCGATCCCACTTCATAGGATCAGAGTCAACATTTAACAAATCCTCTAATACAGTGACTGATGACAAACTACTCAGTGACAATGCCAACTGCATACCAATTTGACTCATTCCTCCAAGTATTACAACTGATAAATTCTTCTTGTCACCATTAACTTCACCATTGACTTGCAGCTCACAGTTTATAGTGTGGTTGATGAACGACTCATGAGTACTTGGCTCTTCTTTGCTGGGTTGAGTGCTATTAGCACTATCTATGTTATTAAAAGGAAGAACAGATTCTGGTGGTTTATCTAAATTAGAAGTGGATTAAATTTAAACAACCCATTTTATGATAACTCTGCTTACAATTCAATGTCCTTCTGCCCCATAAGAATGAAACTAAGACTAGTGACATTATAATGGCTGCAGCAATGAGGATAAGTCTTTTCTTTGGAGAACCGTTGCTACTTCCCTTGCTAGAATCCATGGTTAAATGGGTGTGGCTGGGATTTACTCCACCCACACATACTAGAACTACGAGATAATTAAATTACACTGCCGGCATCTACCGGTATGCATGTGTGTCATGTAAAATCTATGCCCCGAGTGATTTTGCTAGAAAGTGTCTGATGTTAACTTAGTAGCGAAAAGCAAAGATCACAGCATGCTTTGATTAAAATCTTTTGCAGCTATAAACAATCAACGTGACACGATGCACGATGAAAGCGATGTCAACGCAGGCATAGACAAAACAGATGCCATACACACCCTGGCAGCACACCAAGTTTACTTGTTGACAGGTTAACAACAAAAGACTAAAATTGTTTGTTCTGGGTACACATTGTTCATAAATTTCTAAATTGACGTAGAACTTTTAAACGAAATATTATGACTGTCAGGCTGATTGCTGCACAGGTGTATGTAGACTATTAAATGCTCTTTATTGGTACAATAGAAGCACTCCAGCTGCATACCATCCTCCTTCATCTTCCTTTTGCTGCAAACATTTTAATTAATCCAGTTAACTGATTAGAACTATATCAAATTAGATTTTTAAAGGTAATTGTTATTACAAAAGAGCATTATCATGTAGTTTATGTTTAAAAGTACACTTAATTACAAATATTGGAATTTTTCATTGTTTTTCATCGAACCGGAGTTTGTAATCAATGTTGTCGCCATCTGGCTCTGGTATTCCTTTCACAACTGTTTGACTTTTTTGGACTCTCAAAGTTGGCTTGCTTCTGCTTTTTCGAACTGCTGGTCTTTCCTTAGCTTCATTTAGCATCACAACCTTTTGTGTCTCAGTTTTTGTACCTGCATAGTATTAGGAATTGAATAAAGAAAATGAATTTCATTCCTATTTAGATCCATTTGTGCCCTCAGGCTAAGCTCAGTTATTCAATTCATATTGCATTACAGCAAGTGCAACCCCATTTATCCAATAAAAACTATAATATAACACTCACCAATTTCCATTTTTGCTGGATTTTCAGTACATGCCATTTCCCTCTGTTCCTGTACAATATATTGCTGCGCTACTAGAGGCTAGGTAGTGACTGTTGTTGCTTTATAAAGACAATGAATATGAGGTGTGGTAGATACATACCCACTCCCTGTATTTACTAAGAGCCAATTATATAGTAGTAAATATTAGAGAGGAAGTTTAAAGAGTAACTTTCAATTTCAAGTAGCAGAAACAACGGAACATACTAGTCTAGAACTAAAACTATGTCCGAGTTTCTGTGAACATTAAAACCATGTAGTCTCATTACAGACACTTATGGTCAAATGTACATAAAATTCTATTGTATATATGTTGTTACTGATACCTGATTACTGTATTGAAGCACAGAACCTGCATCTTCCTTTACTCTTAACTAATAATAACACTCCTTAATATTTCCTAAAACACAAATAAGACCACTAGGTAGCTAGATCAGTTTCACCAGCAGATAAAGTGCATAAGAATGAGCTTCTCCTTCCTTGCCTTAAAAAAGACAATTTGAAATCCCACCATAACCGATTGACATGACTTACCACCCACGCATAACCACCAAAAATACAATTAAAATTGTACAAAAATAACTTTAAAAAAACAATTTGATGTGCAACAACAAGTAGAAAAATAAAGCAACACATTGCAAGCAAAAAACACAGAACTATTCCACAGGAATAAAATTAGGGGGTGGGGGAGGGAGAGAGAGAGAGTGATGATTGCAGTAAATTGCATTTCATTCCACAATGACGACAACTCCTTTGCTAGAGTCAATTGCATCAGTTCCTTTTGGTCTTGAAAGTTGAATGATGTCTTCCGATGTTGTATCACTTGTGCCGTGATTAATGCTTGACTTCTGCCATATTAGATTAGGCAGGTTGTCGCATAAGCCAAACTCCATAGATCTGAATAGCTGAGTTACCTGAAAAAGAGCAATAAAAAAATTATTAAAATCATTTTAAAAATTTCTTAATATAGAGAAGCTCACTGGAATTGAATTGCGAATGAGTTCATGAAGTTGACTATAAGTCACGTGACTGTCACATGAGACGGAGCCCAGCCAGCCGGGAAGGAGAGAATAGTGAGAATAATGTACGTAAGATCCAAGATAAATATCAACGAGAAAAGATTTTGGGGCAGGAGAAGAAGAAGAGGAGAAACATGTAGGCTGAAGGCCAAGATGTGAGAGCCATTGTCCTTTACAACTATCAGATACTACAGGAGGGAAGTAGAGAGAGAGAGATGGATTTCAAGCAGCAGAAAATCATATTTAATATCAAATAGCATCATTTGGAATCCATCCAGCATGATCAAACTCATTTGTACATTGTAGCTACTAGTTCAGCCAAGTACATGTACATGTGTGTAAAGCATTTTTAATCTTCCTATTTACATCCTCCAATAAATTATTAATTTACAAGGCTTGAGCTCGTAGCCAAAATTGGACTTTTTGGGCAAAAGATCATGTATTTTGTCAAAAATGAAAAGTAGAGAATTCTTCATTTTTATAATTTATCCTGATACATATACATGTTTTTATGTTGTGTAGAAAGTTTGAGTTGATTCCAATCAAAAATAGATTTCTTATGAATTTTTAAAGTTGCTCCAAAATTGGACCAAAATCCCTGTACTATAGTACAGGGATTTTTGCCAAATTTCGTGAAAAATGAAAAGTAGAGAATTCTTCATTTTTATAATTTTTCCTGATACATATACATGTTCTTATGTTGTGTAGAAAGTTTCAGTGGATTTCAATCAAAATTATGTCATTATAATCTACATGTTGTATTAGAATGTATTTCAAAGCAGATGTAGCCACGTACTGTAAATGACCAATAAAATTACAAAGCATATCTCTTGACAAATCTCTTGATGATCAGCTTACCAACATCAGATTGTGCTAGCAGTCCAAGGCAGTCTTTGAGTGATGGCCTCCTCCTATAGTCAATGGACAGACACTGCTGGACCAGCTGCTGGAGAGCAGGGTCTAAGAAACCAGGCACATGATGGGAATAAGGGACTTTACAGATCTGAGAGAGAGAGAGAGAGAATGAGTGGGTTATTATTGACCTGTACAAACCTGCTGTATTTGTGACTGCTGTACTTCTGCCCTATAACGTCTCTCCCTACAGTCTAAATACATCGATCGCCACGGGCGACGCCCCGTTACCATGGCAATGATACAGCATCCGGCCTGCCAGATGTCGAGTGCGTAGCTGCATCTAAACTCGCTGTAATGCTGTGGGTTGATAAATAAAGGGAAATATTTGTGAGTAATAGTTTTTAAAAGTTTACTTCTGGTGGGTTGTAATGGACAGTGCCAGCATTGGCATCTCCTCTCATGCAGTAGCCCTGGTGGCTGTCTTCTAGGACTTGAGAGCAACCAAAATCTGTAGAAAAAGGAAGAGAGAGACAACAAAACAGAAGGAAGAGGGAGGGAGGGGGGAGTAAAGGGTAGCCACCTGGCAATAATTAAGGGATTTACCAGTCACTTTAAGTCTCTGGACGTTCTCATCAATCAGTAGATTACCAGCTACACAGTTAAAGTTTTAAGGATAGAATGTGCTTCCTTTTTTCTTTTGCTTACGTTTTATATCCGAATGAACGAGGTTGATTTTACCGTGCAGATAATCAAGAGCATCAAATAACTGACACGCGTAATTGTGTGCATCTTCGACTGAGAGTGGGCCTCCATTATAAAGATAGCTCTGCAAGCAGCCTAAGAGAAGAGGAATAGATCATCATCACAGCTGGTAATTAAGAATTTGTCAAATTGCTAGTGAGTGGTGGTATACATGTATATGTAAACTAACGTACAAGGCATCAGTTCAAGGAATAGCTGTAGCTTAGTCTCAACTTGTAGAGGTAAGAGTGACGCTCCATAAAACTCAACTATATTTGGAGGATGATCTTTGGAGCTTGAAGAGAGTCGGAGCGATATCAGTGTCTCATTTACAGCTGTCAATGACTCTTGCTCCTGTTAATAGTATAATAATTTAAATACTTTTCAAAATAATTTTAAGAACAATTTGAATAATTTAAAGAATAATTTGCTCCCTCCCTGCTGTGTTACCTCCTTTAGTGCTAGCCAGAACGAGGTCTCCCTATCTCTGATACAATAGGTAGTTCCGCTGCTACCACAACCCAGCTGTTTAATCCTTTCCCAGTGGACGCCTTCCTGATAAAACTTATGCCGCTCCAATAATGCCTAAATTAAAATTACCCGTGACTGCATGTACATGTACATCTACATTCACACTCTCTCTTGAAAGTTTCCGACCATAATGGTATAATACAACTGGTTATGCATGTACTTGCTAAGTTGGTATTGTATAGTACATTGTACTTACTAATCTTATTTGTTTCTTGGTTTCTATGTACGCCTTCACTTCAGTCTCAGTCTCTGGGAGTCTCTCGTCCAGTGCTCTCTGAATGATGTCCTGAGAATAGGAACTAGTGATGTAAGATGAAGAGAGGACGAGTGACGATGATGAAGAGGACGGTGACGCCATGTCATGTGGATGTGGCTCGTGGCAACAATTACCACTCTCACAGCATTTAGCTGATAAATGGAGAGAGAGAGAGAGAGAGGGAGAGAGAGAGAGAGAGATGTAAAAAATGTGGACAAAAGAGAATAGAAGTGAGAGAAAGTTAAAAGTTTACATGCACAGACAAGGCTTAAAGGTACTAACCTTCTTCAGAGCAGCCCCACCTACATGTACTAGATGGACCAGGACCAGCAGCAGTGATAGAGTGTCTTGTTGTTCCCATAGCTCCTCCTACAGGAATAGACCCACTGGAAACAGACGACTCACTGGCAGATGAATGAAGAGATGAGGTAGGGCCCTTAGACCACTGTTCGCTGTATGGAATAGTCATCCGACGACGAAAAAATTTTTTCTATTAAAATGAAAAAAATCACCTGCAAATAAAAATAATTATAAAGTATTTACTTGAGTTTCATTGCAAAAATGATTGTATGGACACTTCTTGGGTTTGCAGGACCTGGCGTGATACCTGAGCCATCGTCTAACCTTAGAGCACCAAGAACAATCTAGAGAGAAAGGGAATGAGAGAGAGAGAGAGAGAGAGAGAGAGAGAGAGAGAGGAAATGAGAGAAAGAGAGAGAGAGAATGGACAGCAGATGTGCATCCGTGTACGAGACACAAAAAAGATAACGAAAGGATAATTATAGCAAGTCCCATTTTGCTTACATTCCGGGCACTGGTCAATCTCGTGAGCACAGAGTGCCCTGATGTAGAGGCAGACATCAACACTGCAGCCATTTCCAGGACACACAGAGAGGTGAGTGTCAACCTTTAGCCACTGGTGGTCTTCAGCCTAACCAATAAAGCAATAACAGTGCATCAGGAACAAAGTACAATCAATGTATAAAATACAATAATGTGTAGTGGTGTACATAATGTCCATATGTACATGTACATGGTTATATTAGATCTAGAAATACATTGTAAATAATCTAATTAAAAATAGAAGGTTTCAGGAGACTTATACCAAATGTACAAGAGATCATGAACATCCTCTACACCTTATCATGTACATGGAAAGGGAAGGGAAGAATAACAGGAGACATGGACAAGACCGTATAAGTAAAACATGTACGTGCGCATGATGCTTAATGTCACTTACAAATAGAATTCTCAGAGAAATTGGTTGAACTGGTGGCTGAGGTACATCCTTCTGTTGCTTTGCTCCTTCCATTGCTAAAAGGGAGCACTTTGCTGTGAGTAAGGGAAAGAGAGGACAGGAAGAAGAAGTGTACCCACAAATGCACTCTCCTCTCCTCTCTCTCTCTCTCTCTCTTTTAAGTATTCTATTTTGGCACGGTCAACTGCCACTCCGAACAAACGACAATAAAAATACTCAAGCATGTACATGTACATGTAAAATACATGCACACGGTTAGAGTCATGCCAAGGATGACAGAATAGACAAATTTCAATGGAGATGATAATAAACTATTGTCATTATTTACATAATGAGGGCCATCATACATACTGAACTAAAATGCATTTCTAGTAAATATGTATTATAAGTACTGCTAGTTCAATGGGAACATTATGTAACTGTTAATTAAAGAAGGATATAGGATTGCAATCTAGTTCAGTGATGCTAATTTCTCTGCATTAACTCCTTCTCTAGGAAAAGTCCCGTGCAATGTGTCAAATGAATGCAACTTGAAAAACTCATTCATACAAAAAATGTGATAATACTACAATGTAATACTAATAATGTACATAATAATGATGACATGGTACGTGTACTTACTAAATGAGAGAGGTACTCATAACTAAGTAATTATCATAGCTTAAGAGGAAGCAAGATAAGAGAGAGAGAGAGAGAGAGTGAGTGAGACACTTTGTCTCTGATGATGAAATGAAAGTACACCCTTTCCAATGACTACTGCAAATCCAATACTGTCTGTGTGTGTGTGGTCATATAATTGATACATACGCGCATGTAATGTACCAATTATAAGTACAATAACACAATACATGATGCACTAACAAGTATATAATTCAATATGTATATGTACATGCTTGGCTGATCACTGGAAAAGGGAGTTACATGCCATATACATGTACATGCATAATCTTTACTTGCAGGTACAGTATGTGGTTGTATGTATCACAGTAAATATGTATGTCAAAACTTAACAAAAAGAAAATAATGTATGTGTGTGTGTGTGTGTGTGTGCATATTACATACACTAATGTACATTTACATGTAGTTTAATGGTGTCTAATAGCTATAAATTATAGTAAATGGATTAGGTATAATCTAATGGTCAACCACAGGAGTCACTACACGTGTCCAGGTTTATATAAAGTCCAGCAGACTTACCAGTAAGCCCTCCCTGCGAGGGATAAAGGAGATACTATGTGCAAGGCGAGTACAATGAGGCCTCCTTCCTTCCCCTCACTGGACAGCAGCAGCTTCTCCGTTCGAAGACTTGGCTTTCTCACAGCTTTTCCAACACGTCTGGCGGCTTTCCCCTGATTATGGTAAAACAATACAAGCCATGACATAATGTATGGGGACACTACCTATCAGGAGAGCCACCTCAAGGGAACGTCCCAAGATTCTCTGATATACGGATATGAATTATGAACCGAACCTAAACCTCTTTCCGTATATTTAGTTATAACTTGCAGTTATTAAACCATCTAGTTATTATTAAAAGTTATGTAGCCTAACCACAAAAATTGTTAATTCGTGTAAATTTAGATTGGGTAAGGATCAGAATGGAAAGCAAGGAATTAAGTGAGTTTTAAGTGATGCTTTCTCTAAGTTTAGTCAATTGTTTGCTCATTTGGCATACAAAAAGCCTACACTTCCACCTCTGGGTGTAAAAATACAATGGGTATGCTAAATAAATTCCAATCATGGGAGGGGTGTGGAGCAGGATATGCAATGATGCATTGAGTAGTAATGTACATGAAACTATACTAACACAACACTGAGTGAATGACGTCATTGTTGCTGTTACATAATTTACTTTTATAGCTCTGGGTATGTCTGACTTGGCTGATATCCTGGAAGCCTTAAGAGAGCACGAGTTCCTTTTAACAAAATGGGAATTGCTTGGCATTCAGTTGGGCGTTCATTTCAACAAGTTGAAAGTCATTGAAGCAGAGCACCGGGATATGGAGCAGTGCTTGTGTGAAATGCTCACTGTATGGTTGAGATTGGACTATGATTATAAAGACAAAGGGAGACCTTCTTGGCAAGGACTCATAAACGCACTGAGATGCATTAAGCAGATTAACACTGCTGAAAAGATTGCTAAAGAAAAATGTCTAAATTATGAATAGTTTTGTCTGTCCTTTATGAAATGTATATGACGTAGATATATCATTTTATAATATTTCAGTTATACATAGATCTAGTGGCTAAGACTGCAAAATATCTACATGCATATATAGCATTATAGATTACAGTGTAAGAGATCTCTTGTCATTATAGTCCTACAAGATCTGATAAAATACCAAACAGAATGTTCCAATGTTGGTGCCTGATTTACATGTATGGGTGGGGCTGGCTATAGTCAGTACTATATTCTGCCATCACAAGCGTCTTCCATGCCCAGCAACTTGGGGAGCTCTTAAAGGAACATAATGTTCGAGAAATAATGGGCATAAAGAGTTTCCCAACTAAATTTGCACTCGAAATTGTGATGTGTTTACAACGGGATGTAGAGTATAGATCTAACACCATAAACAACTTCACGTGATCCTTTACAAGCTTTACTTTTAGTTTTGAGACTTTATGAGCCTCCAATGCTTTGAATTAACTCTATACAACATCAATGTATTAAAAACATCTTTAGAAAACTTTAAAAAGTCTCTGATGGATGGCCTCAGGGCCTCTACACTGCCAATTGCTTGCCATTGAACTAGATGGTGGCACGTGAGCACAGTGCCAAGAGTCGTAGCCTTTTTCTCCCTTTCCACTCAATGGATTGCTCCAAAACTCATGACATATAAGCACAAACTAACTCTCAACAAGTAGAGATCACTAAAGAAACGGAAGAGTAGCTCACCCGAGAAAAAAACTACACTTTCTTTAGTGTCACTCTCATGACGTCATTGATGAACCTTCCTTCTTCTCTCTTACAAAGGTGTCCCGTTTTGAGCTTTCTCGTGCATTCCCTCTCTTCAAAAGCTGTCTCTAGATAGCCAATGATCCTGATATTAGAAAAAGCAAAACAGGTTTGCTTTAAAATGCATACAAAACTTTTAAAAGAAGAAAATCTCAACACCATTCACTTACATGATGGTTGATGGTGTGCTAACACACCAGACTTATCATAGGTTTTGCTCTCTTTCTGGGGATTTATTTCTTTAACCAGTGTACAATGTCAAAGCATATATAACTAACTTTACCTAAATAAAACTACAAGCTGATACACTTCTCTTTTGTCATGATACAACCAACTTTTCAGAGCTCATGTCGTCTTAAGTCAACCATAATTGTTTCTTTACCAAGAATAACTCTGCTGTATTGCAAATGGTTCCATGAACAGTTAGCTACAGGAAAACTATAACATACTAGCTACATAGTTATAACAATAAAATTTGAAAATAATGAACGAGTAAGTAAGTACAAGCAGTCAAAGTTGGTACACAAGCACAGCCATTAGGCTCACCCTGCATAGTACTGCATAGTGATCCTGCTCACGTGAGTCTATCCCGAGGCCGTCCAGGTAATGGTGTATATATTGAATCAAGGAACAGTAGTCCTGCTGTTCATCGACTTCAAGAGGTACTTTCGTTCTAACTAAGAAGAAAAGAAAAATAAAGAAAAGAAAGATGTCTTCCGCTGCTCCAGCAAAGAAACCCAAGGCTCCCGCAAAGCCCAAGGCCCCAGCAGACCACCCCAAATACGTTGACATGATCACCGCTGCAATCAAAGCTGTGGGAACAGGAAGAAATGGTGCAAGTCGCCAAAAGATTGTTAGCTACGTCAAAGCCAACTACAAGGTCTCTGATGGTGCTGAGGTTCACATCAAGCAGGCACTAAGGAGAGGTGTTGACAATAAGGCTTTCATCCAGATCAAAGGAACTGGTGCCTCTGGATCTTTTAAACTTGCAAAGAAGGAGGCAGCTCCTAAAAAGGCAGCTAAGGCAGCACCAGTCAGCAAGAAAGCTAAACCAGCAAAGCCAGCAGCATCACCAGCTAAGAAACCAGCAGCCAAATCTCCAAAGAAACCTGCTGCTAAGAAGAGTACTACAACAGCCGCCAAGAAACCAGCAGCAAAGAAGCCTGCTGCAAAGAAAGAGAGCGTAAAGAAAACACCCACAAAGAAACCGGCTGCAAAGAAACCTGCTGTAAAGAAATCTCCAGCTAAAAAACCAGCAGCAAAGAAGCCCGCAGCAAAGAAACCCGCCAAGAAGTAGATGATCCAATGAACATATTCTCTTCTTATCCTTAACTTATCTCTTCTCTTTTAACCGGCTTTTATCAAAGCCACCATTCTTCCAAAAGCTCTCTTCCTGAATGTTATAGTATTCATTTATTGTGTCATACACTATACCTTTTCTTCCATTATAATTATGTTATATTATGATAACTCCACTGTAACTTTCTTTTGTGTTCACTTTTTTAATGCAGATTAGATCTATTAAAGCAATGATTGGTAACATTGAAATTGGGTTTTGGAAGTGGATTGGCTGAAGTGTTACTTTCAAACCTTGTGTTAATTATAATCTGCAAGCTCAGCAAATATAAAATGTAGGTGGGGCTGGATTCCAGGTGTCTCACGTGATGCAAAAAGTGTGGTCAAATGACGTCATGAAAAATAATGCAGCTGTAGATCTGTTTCTGTTAGAACAACAATTTTTCACTTTAATGTTATTATTATAACAAGTCAAGCTGCAATTTCTTTATACAACCTTTTCCTTAGCTCAATAAAAACAGTATGTAGCTTGTCTTACATTTCATTGCTGCTTTAATGATGTTTTTGACTTTTCACTATCAAAGATTTTTGAAGGTGTGTTAGTATCGGAAAATTATATCCAAATTTGCAGGTTTTCTAGGTACTTGTTTAACTATCCACTGCTAAGTATGAAAGTATATACTATTGCCTTGCAGCAAAAATTCTTGCTTGATAAAGTATGCAGTTCTTACTGTAGTACAGACAACTGTTAGCAGCTTGCATCTCCAGTTAATACTATTTATTGCAAATCTGAAGATATCTCAATGAATTTTTCTATAGTGATATTAGGAAACTTTATCATTAGAGACACATCATAAAGCTATATTATAACAGATAAAAATTCAACATGCAAAAATTTATGACAGAGCCACGAAAGGACAAACCTGCGTATCAAGCACAACCATTTCTTCTTGCTATATTGGTACAGAAGTAGTGATCCGGATCACGTGATTATTTTCCGAGGCCATCCATGTACGCGTGTCTATAAAATCCGGCGAGAAGATAAAAAATTTGAATTTTGCATTGTTTGTCAGCTGAAGTCCAAGTTTCCAGAGAAAGACCAAGAAAAATGTCCACTCCACCTCGTCCACCACCAGCACAGAAGAAGAGAGCTACTCCCAAGCGCAAGCCTCGCTCTGCAACTTCTTCTCATCCTACATATGAAGACATGGTTACAGCTGCCATCAAGGCTGTTGGTGGCAAATCTGCTAGTCGTCAGAAAATAGTCACCTACATTAAGGCCAACTACAACATACCAAAAGGAAAAGGAGCTGATGTTCAAGTCCGGATGGCAATCAAGAGAGGACTCAACAAAGGAAAATTTTTGCAAGCCAATGGAAAAGGTGCAGCTGGATCATTCAAACTCTCCACCAAAGTATCTGCCAAGAAATCTCCTGCAAGGAGGAGAAAAGCAAAGCCTGCAAGAAAGACTGCTGGAAAGAGACGTGTTGTAAAATCTCCAAAACGCAAAGCAGCAAGAAAATCTCCTGCAAAGCGCACTCCAGTGAAAAAACAGAGGAGCACCAAAAAGAAACCTGCTAGGAAATCACCAGCTAAAAGGAAGTCTCCTGCAAGGAAATCTCCTGCAAGGAAAGCTAGGAGACCAGCAGCTAGGAAGGGAGGAAAGAAACGTCAAGCCAAGAAATAGACTTGTGAACTCTATTTTTAACAAAACTTTATGTTCTCTTCCTGTTATATAGTATATCACTTCATCTGTTGTAAAATAAACATGTATCACTTATCATTAAATTACTGTTTCAAAATAAAATCAACTTTCATTTTGAAGACAAGAAAGGTTTGAAAACTAAAATGAAAAGTTCGGCGGCGAAAAATTATTTTGGGTGTGGCTGATTATAAATTAGAGGCCTATTGTATCACGTGATTTCACTGGTTATTAAACCAGACACAGACACGCCCACTTTATATTCATAATGCATACATACACATAGCCTGGGATTACTTCACTAGAGAGGGACAGAACATAAGCCATGTCAGTCTTAGACAGTTTCCTCTCCTCCATTAGACGTGGAACGAGGCAGGCAGCTCCAGTCCACGAATCCAGACCACAGGAAAATGACCTGGCTCTGCAAACATTGAAAAGAAAGTATAGGTATGAAAATAATTATCATTGAAAACCTTGCTTTGTCAGTGTATTTGGCACATTTTAATTATTTTTTGGACAAAAATTCCACCTGTCATTTGCATAAAACGAACTTCGGCCATTTTTACCACAACTGGACAATAATTCATGGGTTAAATTCAAAACTGAGCTATATTAATGAATTGAACTAGTCTTTAAAATAATTATCATTTTTCATCCTATTGTAACTAAAATAATCGATGCTGATTTGTTTTGATGTATGTACATATACATGCCCTTCTTTTTTTGTTTTTTGAATGAACAGAGAATACTTGCAATGCGAAGACACTCAAGAAAAAGAGACCAAGTTATTCCAAATGGTGCCCCTCTTCAACAAGTCCTGCACTAGGATGGAGGAAAGCGTACTTGTCGAGAAGTTCCCCGAGGTTTTCGATTTCGCCGAGAACGTTTCGTTCATATTTGTTCGCCATGTAACCCAGCTGGCCCAGACCAGCCCGAGCTCTTTGCTTGAATATTTTGAAAGTGATGGAGAGACGCCCTCAGCAGGGATCAGTCTACTAAAAGGTCTTTTATATACTTTATTTGTTATCATAATTTCATTTGTATTGTCATCTCACTCACTCTCTCTCTCTTTCTCTTTCATTCATTGCAGCCATTGCTGTCCTCTCCCGTGGCCCTGATACAATAGTGAATGCGATGATGTCTTCTAATCTCAGCTCAATTCTGATGAGATGTCTCTATCTCTTCCTTGACCTTCCCACTCCTGTAAGTCCGTCTAATAGTAATGGACAGTATCCATGATACTTTAGCTTTTTGACACTCATCCATTATCTTGTTCCACGGAAATATCTGTCATATTTTTGCTCTAGATCTGATCCAGTTTTGTTCTATAGTCTAGTAGCTTCCATTGCAGTGTAGATGTAGCCTAGCCATATTGGTTTGTAATTGGTGACTGCATTCCTTTTAAGTCGTTGTTGATAGGATATTGTGTGGTTGTGTGCCTTCATGGAATGATAACACTCCTTCTTCTTAAGAATACCCAATCAAGCATGCCTCAGTTGATAACTGCAGTGCAATTCTGACATGTTTACTTATTTACATAGTAAAGAAATAATATTATTATTTCTTTTTTATTCTCTACTGTGAAGCATAATAATAATAATCCATAATAATAATAATAATACTAATGTCATGCACATAATACATGTACCTGTAGAGAGCTAAGTATGGCTCTCTTTTCATTGTTGGTTGGTTATTTCCTAGGCTTCTTCTGAAAGCCCTTCTTTAGGTAGAGGTACAAAGACGTCTTCACAGCAGCGATCACAGCAGCGATCAGAGCTTCAGAAACTATTCATCAGAGTCATTAACAGGTAAGGGAGAAGGAGAGAAGAGAAGATTACTTATTTACAAGATACATTTTAGATGTGTGTAATATTATGAAAACCCTCTTGTTATTTTGTGTATAAATGTTTTGTTTGATTTACACATAGAAACACGAGTGGCTTATCCAATCACACACTTTAGGTGCTGTATAAACTCAGGAGTCCAACTAATAGTGTCAATAATAATAATATGTGTGTGGAGTGCCATTGTTCTGCTGTGTATTTTGATAAACTCCTTTTAATATGTATAAACTGCAATGGCATTGCTGCACGTGGTGTGTGTGGAATGAATGAATTATTTTCTATGTTTTGTTAAAAGATATTTGATTGCTTTCTTTTACTGAAGTGAGATGTTTGTCTACTATGTTTTGTGCTATTGCAAGCATCCTACACTACTCTCTCTCTCTCTCTTCTTCATTTTGTCATGGAGGTGTCCCTAATAGCAACAGTACATAGATAATACTTGTACTTTGTATATATAGCAGTGTTTTCTCTTTTTGTGTTGTGCTGCAGTGCAGTCTCTTTTGTGTGGATTTTGTTTGCATGAGGCCCTGTTGGTATGTCACTAATCTGGAATACTCTTTCAATAATTATTAATTATCTTGTGTACGGTACACGTAACAAAAACATTATCTCCTGCAGCTTTCACATGTAATAATATAGACATACCATAAATTGTGAATCAACTATTAATTATGAAAATTTCCAACGTCTAAAACCTAAATATTCCATTCTGTAATTCATACCTTATGTGTTCCCACAATAATGCTTCTTTCTTTCTTCACAGGTTGTTGAGGCATGCTCAAGCTGTTGATGCTCTCCTCAAGTTTGATGACCTTTCATTGCTCTTCTGTGCCATATCCTCTCCCTGCAGCTCTTACAATAAAATATGGAGGAAGGCATCAGCTGAAGCTGTAATGACCGTCTGTAAATACTCATTATCAGGTGCATGAACTAAAGGGTTACAGCCAAACCTGTCTATTCCTTGAGACATAATAATAATACCCTAGCTCCTGATTATGAACCTGTCCTTATTTCAGAGGTTCATTAATACGCATTTATATTGTACTGGGACTGCAAATAGGTGTGTCCTTATTTTAGAGTGTCCACAATAGGAGGTTTGATTGTATTTGATTAAAGATAAATAAGATTATCTTTTAATGTACATAATGGCTACTTTACATTGTGGGCTGGTTGGTGTTGTATACTTGTTATTTCATTATTTATGATGTGCATTTAGTGAATATTATGTCAGTTTATTTTATTTTTATGTTGTAATAGACGAGGTCATTAGTTACGTACACAAGAAAAACTGCATTAGTTTTTGTGTGAGGAATATTAAGAATTTCGCTGACAAGCAGTCACCACTAGAAGTGACTGAGATACTGGTAGCACTCTCCTGCTGTCTTAAGGTAACCTCTTGAGATTTATAATCCTAAATGATGCTATATCCCATGTGATATACATGTACATGTACATGTATGTGCATGTACATATTTTTCCAGTTATATTATTAGTATACTACATGTATATTATTAGTATACTACATGTTTGTTGCTTCATAGGATTCATCAGAGTTCTCTAACAGTCTTATTGATGATTTCTCTGCCGGCGAGGGTTATCAGTTTCTATTCAGTTTCCTCCTAATGCTGGATGGTAGAGGGGAACAAGATGCTAAAGATGCTCAGAGACACGTCGTCTTGCTAACGTCTGATCTCGTGTATTGTGGACATAAACCGATGGATATAGTTATGAACGACCCCGGTCCTTTTAATCCTGGCTTTATCATACCCGCACCTTTGAACAGTGGTGAGTGAGCTACTGTTACTAATAATAGCATGCTTAGGACTATATTGATGTTACTATTTTTAGCTTTATAATGTACATACATTTAGTAATGCTAGTATTGATGATTTATGCACTATTAAACAGCTGTAATAATATATTTAATAATAGTTTTCCTAGTATTTGTGATTTAATATGTACATGTACATGTATATATATTATGAAGTAATTGTCTTATTTTTGGTCTCTTTTGTTCTTTATTCTCTCCAGCTACCACAGTTAGGAATAAAGATGCCTTCCTCGTCCTACACAATGCTTTCTTGCACTCCACTTCGAGCCATCTTGGTAAGGATATCATTGACTCCATCATTAATATATACAAGTGCGATTCTGCCAATTTCTTTATGCTGGAGCCCCTCCACACTCTCTCATCATTCCTTGAGGCTTTGGAGAATAAGAATGAAGATGTGCAGGTACTGCTTTATGCATATACACAAGTGAGAAATTTCTCTCTCTCCTCTCATTACAGATCAGTGTGTTTCGCTTGCTTGATTTCGTTATAGCAGAACTCAATTATGTACCGACCTCAGCGCTAACCAGTGTGGGACTTTTGCTGGAAAAATTTGAGTGAGTCTATTCATATACCAAGTAGATATTGTTGTTATTACGTTACAGTTCATGCATTTATAAAGTACATGTATTTTGTAAATATTGTTAATGTGTATGTGCTCTTTTTCAGGTATCCAAGATTGCAGTGCCTAGCTCTTAATAATATTTTAAAGTTCATAAGTCATAAAGCTTCATTTAAGGACATATATCGGGAGGCTGGGATACTCATACTCCTGGTTAATGCACTCAAGACGCTCACCAATCAAATAAAGGAGACAGAGAAAGAGAAAACTGAACAAGGTACTCTGTCCATGTTCAATCATGTACTGTAGTACAGTATAGTCATCATTGCATAGTGTCAGGTGATACTGCCCATGGTTTTTTCTGAAAAATGGCTCCGAAATCATTCCCAATTTTTATTACATTTTCTGATACATATTGATGTCCTTATGCTACATAGAAAGTTTGAGCCGATTCCGACTTCAATTTTTAAAGTTATGACCATTTTTTGAAAACTCCAAATTTTTGGAAATTACCCAAGGCTATAGCCCATGGTTTTTTCTGAAAAATGGCTCCGAAATCACCCCCAATTTTTGTTACATTTTCTGATACATATTGGTGTCCTTATGCTACGTAGAAAGTTTGAGCCAATTCCGACTTCAATTTTTTGAGTTATGGCCATTTTTTAAAAACTCCAAATTTCTGAAAAGTACCCAAGGCTATAGCCCATGGTTTTTTCTGAAAAATGGCTCCGAAATCACCTCCAATTTTTATTACATTTTCTGATACATATTGATGTCCTTATGCTATGTAGAAAGTTTGAGCCAATTCCGACTTCAATTTTTCGAGTTATGACCATTTTTTAAAAACTCCAAATTTCTGAAAAATACCCAAGGCTATAGCCCATGGTTTTTTCTGAAAAATGGCTCCGAAATCACCCCCAACTTTTTATTACATTTTCTGATACATATTGATGTACTTATGCTATGTAGAAAGTTTGAGTCGATTCTGACTTCAATTTTTCGAGTTATGGTGTCTGAAAGATTTGTGCATGTACATGTATTATTATTTATTTATTTATTTATTAATTAATTAATTAATTTATTTATTTATTTATTTATTTATTTTACGTGTACGTGTATTTAGATTTATTGTCAGTTGATGGTCTAGCAGGAGATGCTGGGGACACTTATCATTCACTCAACTCTCCGTCTCTCTCTCTCTCCAACCCTCAGGGACAAACTGAGGAGTCCATATTCCTCATCATTGAATCACTAAGAGCCACCATTGAAGGTATGTGTGCAGTACATGTACATGTAATTTATTTTTTATTTATTTTATATTCACAATTGTGTATGATTATTATTATCATCATACATGTACATTGTACCACACAGGGTCTGGTAAACATTAATATTTATTCCTACAGGGTCTGATATTAATGGTCGAGCATTCCGTGAGGCCGGGGGCAGCATTTGTGTGATGGATATGCTCAATTTCAAGAGATACAGGAGAATGGCTCTAAGACTAATGACACAGCTGGTCCTGTTAGATGGTAATTAGATAAAAATAAAGCTTAATGTATTAATATCCTGTTACTCTAACAGAGGGTTATGTTCATATTGGTAAACTCCTTGATATACTGAACACTGCCAAATCAACAGACGTCGATCTTCGTATCGACATCCTTCAAACGATACTAGCCGTCTTTCAATTAGAATCATCTACAAAGGCTTTGTTTCGTGATGGGTGTGGCTTTAATTACCTTATCTCTGTCCTTACTTCCTTATATGGCAGTCTCGGACCCTCAAGGGGAAAACCCTGGGGAAATGGTTAGTGTATGGCTGTATGTACAATTGTGTCATTGGTAAATTTTTAGTTAAAAAGGCGGACATTTTAAACTTGATACAGCTGGTTTTTACCGTACTGACAGTGGCAATGCAGGATGACCCAGCAAATAAGCTATTCTTTGAAACCAACGTGAGCTATACACATGTATATATATGTACATGTACATGTATGTGTACACTTCAAATGCATGTACATTGAAATTTTGCATTTATAAACTCTTCCTTTAATAGATTCAGTTTGATAGTTTTTCTGAGCCCCTTAAATTGCTCGGTTGTTTTGCTCACGACATTGAGCAATGCCAGTCAATCAACACTCACCTCTCTCCAGTTAAAGACTCCGCCCAGTCCATAGAATCAGAGTTCCAGCCCTTATCTCCACCTGCTCAAAACCTCCCGACTTCCTCGTTCATTTTCTGTGCGGCAGAGATATTTCGTTACTTGCGAGACATGGCCCTGGGGATTCCCCTCTCTCAGTCCAAGCCTTTGCTTCGTCTGGCCCCCTCCAGCTCCACCTCTCCTCAACGTACGGCCGTCACGTCATCAGCCACGCCCATTTTGAGTCACGGGCCATCTCACGATAGTGGACAGCCCAAGAAGTTTTATTCGGGTTACCTGGTTCACCCTGGTGCTGTACTCTGTCTGATGGATCTGTTACCAGCCATTGATTATGATAGCATTATAGGGCGGAGCCTGAGCACTGCTCCAGACACGCCCACTATTGGAGGAAGTGAATGGAATGAAGATGATGAAGTTGGAATATCGGAAGGAAGACAGGTACATTTATTAATATTACTAGTACAGTAGGGCCTCTCTTAATGGACGCTGTATATCCATGTATATGTACATGGATATGAGGTTATTTCTCTCCTTATAGTGGTGTCTATATCTTCAAGACTGTGTCGTGAGACAGATATACAATATTGCTGGATCTGAAAGAAACCAACAGTCGTTATGTCAAGTACACACTGTCACTCACTATATGTGCTGTACCTTACAACTTTAATGTCCCTCAGGTTGGTCTACCCGGTCGACTTTTATTAAGATGTGGGAGTGGTTTGTCTGATGAGGCACATCCTCTTCATGAAGCTCTTGAGCGAACGTTTGAGAAACTTTCATATCAATCACTGACCCCGGCAGATTTTAGGTTTAAAAATAACAATAGCGCTGTGGTTTTAGGATCTCTCTCTCTTTTAGGAATTTCTTAAGATTAGGTGATCCCTTATGCTGTAAGATTAATGATTATACAATTGAGGAACTATCAAGTATTGCTGAGTCCAAAGAAAGAGAGGAAGAGGTAGGAGAGGGTCTTTGTGAAACAGAAGAAGATAAAGAAAGTCCTGGTGAGACAGAGGAACCTGCAGGACAGACATTGAAAGACAAGTTAGGTCAGCCTCTCTCCTTGGCAAGGATACAGAGTCTTGTTTCAATGACAACGCCACGCGATGGCATATTGTACGGAGGTAACAAGTTTGGTTGTTCCTCTCCTCCTTTTATCGAGTTTGATATGAGTTTGGATGGATTTGGATGCCTTTTTCTACCCAGTGTATTCCCACAGGTCAGCTAGTATTACCATAGTACATACACAATTCTATTTATTTATAAATTTACCTCCATTAAATGTCCTCTTTCTTTCTTTCTTTCTCTCTCTCTCTCTCTCTCAGACTGTGTCTCAGTCTACCCAGTCTAATGCTACCACGAGTGTCTCTACCACTGGGTTTGGTCTAGGGGAACGTCCCTTTCCCCCTAGCAATGGACTAACCTATTCCACCTGGTTCTCCATGTGCAGTGTCACACCTGACGAGACTCATCCTGTTAATTTCCTAACTCTCTCTCAGTGCTTCCTTACGACCGAGAAGAGTCTTGCCAGCTATCCTCTCCTCCGTATGTACCTGGCCATTGGAGAGAAGAAACTTTACGTGTCTACACAAATACCCAGGAATAAGAGAGACCCTGTCATTGAGGATTATATTCATAAAGATGACAGGTAGGTCTGCTTGTACATGTGATTGTTATTTTATAAATGTGCTGTTTATTTAGGAAGGAGAAGAATCTAGAGGTCTCGTTTGATGTTCCACAGTTGTGCCATGCATCACAAGGCATGTGGCATCATGTCCTCATTACAGTACAGGCCAAAGGTCTCCGTGGTAAAGCTAAGGCATTGGTCTATGTTGATGGAAAGGCTGTTGGGAGCTCACAAAAAGTAAGAAAAGGAAATGAAGGTTTAAAAAATACTCTTTCTCTCTCTTTTTTGTCTCCTTTAGCTTCCTTATATCCATCCTCTTCCTCTTGCAGTTGGAAACCATTTTCTTCCCTTTCCTTCCGACAGTTCTCCCTTTCTAATTAATGCCCATATTGGTACCCACGTAGACAATCGTCACATTAATCCCCTTGTCTATCGGACCGGCCCCTCCTACTTGTTTGACGAGCCTCTACAACCACTGGCTGTACATCATATTTTTATACTGGGTCCGAACTATGTCGGATCATTTCAGAACCCTGTTCCAGGAAGCATGGTCAGTACACATAGTTATTATTATTATTATTAATTTATTTATCATTACACAGTCCTCCAGTATGTACACAGAGTCATTGGGTCAACAGGTATCAGAGGAGAGGATAGTGTTTGGGTTGATTGCTGATCGACCGTCAAACCACACCCTCTCAGAGCTAGTCAACACTTACCAGTACAGTGGCTATGATGTATCTACCATTGCTAGAGAGGTAATGGAGTATATGTACTTTCTGTACATACATAAATGTACTTTTATATACATGTACATGTATGTACATGTGTATGTATGCATCTACAAGTAAAACATGTATATCTACATGTATACATGTAGATATATGTACATGTACTTTAATTACTTACAATGTACATGTATAACTCTTTTCCCTCTCTCATTAATCTTTTCCTCTCTCTCTCTCTCCTCTCTCTCCCTCAGTTGTCGCTATCAGATAAAGATGAAGTCACTCCAGTTACATTACTCAGTAACAGTGTCCTTCATCTGATTGGTCCTGCTAGATGCATTGGTGCCGTCGTCTGTGGCTATTCTGGTATAAGAACGTTTGAGCCACAAGTAATGGAACATGCAATAGTTATACACGTACATTACATCATATAATAATGAGTTTAATGTACATGTATAGTGAATTTAATGTACATTTACTTGATATAATGAAGTTTAACATACACATGTACATGTATATTTATAATGAAGTTTATGTATCTCATTCTTTCTTTCTCTTAGCCTCTTCGTAATCTTTTATCAGCAGTGGGCGGTACTAGTGTCGTCCTTGGTCTTGTTGCCATGGCAGCTAATGTTGATAGTCTTTATGCTGCAATGAAGGCCGTGGTCTGTATAGTAGGCAATAACGACAGGGCATTGAAAGAAATGGAGAGAACAGGAGGTTTCAAGGTACATGTACATACATGTATATGTGCAGTATTTTCATTCCATCTTTGTGTGTATGTGTACATCATTATATATGTGCATGTACATGTCTTTTTTTCACAGTTATTGGGTATGCTGTTAAGAGACAAGAGCTCTCTTGTTAATAGCAACATACTTCATTTAACTTTCACTTTGGTTGGTACCGTTGATAATGAACATGAAAGTGCTAGGATATCTAATGTGATTGCCTTCAAAGACCTACTAGCAGGTATGTACATGTACATGTACATTCAGGGCTACATACATGTACATGTACATGTGTAACGTTCTATGTCTTAAAGCTAAGTTTCTTTTCAAATAATAATATCATTGATCATAGTCACAATACACACACTAATTCTTAGTTTGATGATACTGGTTCTTTTAATGGGAGCTAGACAGGGGTGGGTTTGAACAATGATCCAACCAATGGCCTTGTCTCCACGCTGGAACCATCTAGGGTTGACAGCTGCAAGGTGTCCAGACTAATTACTGTCTTCTGCTCCTTGTTTGCAGAGCTCAGTCTGGAGCATGTACACAATGTAGCAGCTGCACGTGGGTGGGAGTGTTACACATGTACATGTAATATGTAATATACATATACATGTGTGTCATTTGTGTTTGTATACTCTAGATCAGTCAATATGGAAGAATACAAGCGAGGATATTCAAAAGTCGCTCTGTCAGCATTTCTATGATCTCTTGACACATAGCAAGTCAGTATACCCCGGTAAAACTCTGTTTATTATCCAGCCCCCTCCCCTTTATAGTGATCAGGTCACTAATGCTCATACAATGCTTCATGTTAAGTTAGTTCAAGAGCTGTTGACTCGTCTTCACGATCACAGTCTCTCCGATCACACGATAAAATCAATGATTAACGTGATCAATGCTCTCTTCTCTCACGGACCATCTGATGAAGACATTAGGAGGTTAATAATAATAATAATAACTTTCTTGTTTTATCCCTATTGTGTTTTATTGTCTTTCTTTAATGATAATAATAATAATGATAATGATAATGATAATGTAACTTGTAACTTTCTCAGGTTTGGACAGCTCCTCAGTAGTCTCTTACCTCGTGATCATGAGTCAGAGACCTCAGTTGATCTTTATGGCCAGGAAACTCCTCCCACTCCGAGAGAAGCAGGTGGGAGAGAGGGAGGGGAGGAGACACACCCACAGGTAGTGAAACAAGAGAAGAAAAGCAAGAGATTGATAAGACTACGGAACCTACTGCTTGATGTGCTAATGAGCCACTTTACAACTGAGAGGAATGAATTTGACTCAAAGTAAGAGACAAAGAAAGTATCAAGTCAAATGTATTATTTCTTGAATTACATGTATATTATTTATTATTATTTATTATTTATTAGGTTTGCTCGTCAAGTTGTATCAACTCTTGGTTTTGACTGGTTCCTATTGTTTCTACAGCCACAGGTGCACAGGGAGAACGTTATAAAACTTCTCAGGATGTTAGTCCTAATATTACTGAGTGACTCAAAACTGAGAAAGAACTTCACCAACGGTTAGTGTACATGTACATGCATGTAATAGTTTTGTAGATTAAAAAAAGACTCTAGAATTTCATAAATTATATTGTATGTGCATAAATGTACATGTATCTACACTGTACAGTGTGCATGTAACTTTATTCTCCTTCTATTGCAGGTGATATATTTGGTGGGTGGCTGCACGGAATGCGTACAGTACTGCCCGACTATTCTGATGAAATACATAAAATCATACTCTTTTCACTGTCGCCCGATACAAGACCTGAAGTCTCGATACCAGGGCCGATAATCCTCTCTAGACTACTACCGTATCATCTCTCGTCACCGCAGACATTCTTACTGATCATTGGACTACTGCTGGGGACACCAGTTACTGAGGTAATCCTCTGACAGTAGAGGGAAGTCACTGGCAGTGCCATTAAAAGTGTTGCAGAAAAGTAGCCAGAGTTCTTTTAAGAGTATTGCACTGTTAGATTTGAACTGGATTTATATTAAAAGACCTGTGTTGAACTCACTATGCATCTCTTTAGTGACTTCCCTGGACTTTACTATATTCTAATGTACATGTACATGCACCAATGACATGCACCAATGACTAATTTTGTTTCTCTCTTTTCTTTTCCTTTTATTTCATCTCCTCCAGATACCTTACACTGCCCCTCTAACCATCGATTCCCTCTCTTCCATATTTGACATATCCCACAACAGTAAATCAACTCAAAGGGCCAACAGTAGGCTATATCCTGATGCAGTGTTCGTCCTACTGGCAATGATAAGGCTCCTACTCCATGAGGTATAGTCCAACAATAATTATGATCTTCATTTAATTATGTACAATTGTATCCCTCTTTTGTAGGATAAGCCCGAGTCTCACAATAAAGCATTAGTTGTTATCAAGTATCTTGAACAAATATACACTAATCTTCCTTCATTCAGGAACACTCTCTCAACTAGTCAGGACTTTATAGAAGCACTTGCTGCTACTCTCTTTCCTCCTAATATCCTCATGAATGTTGAAGAGGAGGAGACTCGAGGAGGAGATTTGGATGATGATGTGAGCACTGTTGGAGGAGACCAACAATCCTTTAATTTTAGCATTAAGTGCTTGTGCTTTGTGTAGAAAGTTTGAGCTGACTCCAATAGAATTTTAAAAGCTGAAAGACCATGTTTTTATTTTTAAACCTTGTTCTCTCCTATAATCAAGGATACATATAATCCTCTCTCTCTTTCTCTAGTTTGTTATTTTATCATCTCCAGTATCAAAGGATCCTCCATTAAAAGATGATGAACTAGCCACTAAGGATGAAGAGACAATAGCTCCTTCAACTCTTTCAAAAGGAGAAGGAGGAGCCAGTAGTAGTAATGTTATCCCTGCTCTTATGAGGCATGATTCATCAGCAGTCCTCAACATTATCAAGTTATTGCGAATGATTGCACTTGATGGATTTAAGACTTGCACAATACAAGGGAAATCAGGTACTACTGTACTTGTATACAATTATACTGATTTAGTGTAATTTTTGTGAACAATGGATTTTATAATGCACTACATGTACATGTACATATAGATAAGCTGTATGTTACCAGCTGTCTTCCTTTTCTTTCTCCCGCTCTCTCATACTTCCATTCTTTACAGGTAATGCTTATGATTGTCCAGTATTGGAGATGGTGTTAGAAGCTGCTCCTGTTGGTACGACCGACTACATCAAAGCATACCAAACTATAATACTACACGCCATCAGTAAACACTTGGAAGCTGGAAACGAAGACATCTCTGTCACCCTCAAAGAGATCGGACAATTCAATAAGACCTCGATCGGACTTGGAGTCTTTTGTAATCGCCTCATCGATAAACTATGGCAAGGGGTGTATTCTAAACCTACTGATTATTTGTACTCATTTCTCAAGAAGCTAGTAGAACAAGCTCTGACTAGACCTAAACTGCTACCACTGAATGAGATACAGTCATCCTTCAACAGGTTAATACTCTACCAGTTATCGGCAGTCCCAGACACTGAGCCGGAACAAAAGGAGTTTGTCGACACGCTCTGTCTCCTCTCCTCTCACTCTCACGTCATTTTTGACGAGACGAACTCAGACGAGACTTTCCTACGCTGTCTCGTTTATCGACTTTTAGCTCTCGTTTTTACGGAAGGAGAGTGTCGACAAGGAGGCGAGTATCATTCTGCTACTGATCTGGAAAGTGGAGCCAGTGATAGGAGCAGTAGACGTATCCGTGGCTACGTACCCATACTCTCGTCCTCTTTGCTGAAGAGTGGAGCTAATAGACTTTGGAGCAAGATGCTTGAACACAAGCGAGAGGCACTCCAGGGTGTCCTGGGCATTCCGTTACCATTAGCCTCTAGTAGCAGTACAGCTGCTATAGCTACTACTGGAGCAACTGGTAGTCCTTCAAGTGCTGCTGGGGGTACTGGACCACCTGTACAGGTTTGTGTGTGTTTGATATCGGTATTGCATTAGCATCGTGTCAATGTTGTATTGTTTTGTGTCATATTTGGAATCAATCTGGCGTCAATATCGTATCAGTAATGTATTGATTTTTAATTTTTTTTCATGCATGCATAATATGTAACTCTTACTTGTAGCTCTCGATTGGTAACCCTGCCCATACTAAGCTCCAAAACTGCAAGGAGTTTCTTGAAGACAGATCACTAGAGAAATGCTGGGAAGACTTCAAGCAACAAGAAGAATACATTGCTCCTGCATCAGATCAAGCCTCTACCAAGGAGAGAGGGCTATTGAAGACCCTGCTGAAGAGAAAGACGACAAGAATCAGTGGGAGGGACCCAAGACTAGTGGCAGAAGAGTATGTCTGCTGGCAGGAGCCACAGCTAACGGTGGCCTCTCACAAGTTTGAGGACGCAATGCAAAGAAAATATCAAAGAGTAAGAGAGAGAGAGAGAATTAACATTCATTAAAGAGAAAGAGAGAGAAAAAGAAAAGTATTCTTAAAACTATTTGTTATTGTTCAAATGTAGCATTATTTATGTATGGTTTTATTTTTATTAGCATTTAGATTACAAGATAAGATTCACTTCATCAGAGTGGGCTAGGATTGAACACGAGCTGACAAGGGAGAGGGGGCTATGGGGACCTGACAAACCATCTTTCCTTGATAAATGGATGCTAGACTCCGTTGAGGGTACGAGCATTATTATTATTATTATTATTATTATTATTATTATTATTATTATTATTATTATTTTATTACCATAGGCCCTAGTAGAATGAGGAAAAGATTGTGTCGGAATTATTTATTTTATGAGAAATATTGTTACGATCCACTGCTAGAGTCAAATAAGGTACACGTCAGTGCATTAACATGTTCAACATTGTACTGTATTTCACAAAATCTGTGACAAGCAAAAAAACCCATTAGTTCCATTGTCACGAAATCCGTGACAAGCAATGCTTTGTTCCATTAATTTACACTTTTTCTCCTTTGTGTCTCTAGGGTGGTAAGCACCAGAATCCCACTAGCTATCATTCTCCTCTTTATGAAGCTCGGTCCGCCATATTCTCTGATTCTTCTCTCCTCTCTCATTCCTTCTCTTCTCCACCATCTCATATCGCCATGACAACCCCCCGTGCCAGGGAAAGCTCTTTCTCTTCCACTCAACAGAACAATCCGCTCTCAGGATTAGGTACCAACACACACACACACACACATTGATGTACTGATCCTCCTTCTCTCCCTCTCTCTCTCTCTTTTAAGATGAAGGTGCTAACAGAGCTGATATTCTTAGTTCTCTTGACAATGATGACCCTGTGGCTAGAGCACTGTTTAAAATGATTGATGAACCTGTGAGATTAATAATAATAATATTTACACGTAGTATAATATTTAATATAATATTTAATATAAAAATAATGCATTACGTGCAGTAGAATGCAGTGTATGCCATCGTCAAATTTGAATAACAATGTGCAAATTTTAAATAATTTTTCTGATATTATTGCAATTTACTTTACCATCATCAATTTGCCCCATGTACTTTATTATGCATGTACATGTATTTATAAATATTATTGTATTTATTTCCATTAATTTTCAGATCACAGAGTGTCACCAGTGTGCAAGACTGACTGGCCTTGACAGCTGGGATGGTCTCCTATTGTTCGGCAGTACCTCTTTCTATGTTGTTGAAGGAATCACTATTACAAAGGACAGCAATGTAGTTGATATTGAATCAGCGACTGATGGGTTAGTATTAAAATAATTGTTACAGCATTTTACATGTACACTGAGGTAGTACATATATATGCATGTATATGTATGGTAGTAAGTTGTAGTATGATAAATGTGTTTATTTTTGCATTTGTAGTAGCTATGATCCTGTTATACCAGTCCATGTACAAAGTAACCTCCTACAGACTGGAGAAAAAAGAACTATACAGTCAGTATATGGATAACAATATCCTACTATCGTCTTCCCTCTTATACATTGCATGTAGGTGTACTAAGTGGTCTTATGTTGAGATCAGGGAGGTACACAAGAGACGGTATTTGCTGCGTCATTGTGCAATGGAAGTGTTCTCTAATGACGGACAGAGTCTCTTCTTGATATTCCATTTGGCACAGAGAGACAGGATATATCAGAAGTTAGAAGTTATACTTGTACATGTACATTCATTAGCCTCTCTTTTCTTTTTATGTCCTCCCATCTCTCTCTCTCTCTCTCTCTCTCTCTCTCTCTCTCTCTCTCTCTCTCTCTCTCTCTCTTTCTCTCTCTCTCTCTCCCTCTCTCTTCTAAAGGTTGTTTTCTCTTGCAAGGCCGTCGGATCAAGAGCATTTACTGCTGATTGATCCAGAAATGAATCCAGAGTCAGTCTCAAGCTTCTTCTCAGTCATTACAGGAAAGAAGAGTCTCATGCAGAAATGGGAGGTACTGAACAGCAATAAAAATACACTCAACGTTTCTACATAAAATAAAGACACCAATAGAAATCAAGCATTTTAAATAAAATTTAGAATTGCATATGAGATAATGATTATTATAATACTACATGGAGATATTTCTTTTTTTTAATTTTGTTTAAAAGCAGTATTGTTATACAATGTAAGTCCTCTTGTCTTTGTTTTTATTTTCAATAGAATGGTGAGATATCAAATTTCACTTACTTGATCCACCTTAACACACTTGCTGGTCGATCCTACAATGACCTGATGCAGTATCCTGTCTTCCCTTGGGTTGTCGCTGACTATGATAGCCCAGTAAGAACTCAACAGCACCTGTCATTCATCCGCCTTCTCCCTCCTCTTTTTCTGCCCCTTTCTCTCTCTTTTTCTTAGGTTTTGGATTTAAGTGATCCAAAAACATTTAGAGATTTTAGTCTTCCAATGGGCGCCCAGACATCAAAGAGACTGAAGATGTTTATTGAGAGGTACAAATACTTTGAAGATCCCATGGGTAAATGCATTGATATTAAATTTTAAAATATTTATTTCAGCAAGTTTGTTTATGCAAGAGGGTAAACCCTAATGTTTTTTTAAAAGTATGTATGTTTTTGCAGGTGAAGTATCAGATCCTTACTATTATGGTACTCATTACTCGTCCGCAATGTCGGTTGCTTCGTTTCTCGTCAGGATGGAACCTTTCACTCAGCATTTCATCAAACTCCAGGTTTTTAACTTTATAAATTTTTTTGAAAAATTATACAAGTACAATGTCTAGTTCATGTAGAATTAATTTTCTAAATAATATTATAAGTTTCAAGGCATTCCCTTCTTCTCACATTCTAGGGAGGCCATTTTGATTTAGCTGATCGCATGTTTCACAGCATACCTGAAGCATGGAGGTCAGCCAGCGAGAGCAACATGGCCGACATCAAGGAACTGATACCCGAGTTCTTCTATCTGCCGGACTTCCTCACTAACACCAACCAATATGACTTAGGTACAGCTGCATCATGTACTATGTCATTATGTACTATTACATGTACATGGATATACACGTAGGACATATATAATTACATATATAATTACATATAGTTATTGTGATGTGCTAATACACGTACATGTATGATTGATGTACATTTACTTGCTTGCAGGCATTAAACAGAATATGGAGGAGCTAGGAGATATTATACTACCCCCCTGGTCTAAAGGAGATCCATTGGAGTTCATTAGAGTCAACAGAGAAGTAATAATATTAATAATAATTTATTATTTTTTAAATATGTTTTTTATTTTTAGGCTTTGGAGTCGGATTATGTCTCCGCCCATCTTCACGAGTGGATCGATTTGATATTCGGTTATAAGCAACAAGGAAAGGATGCAGAGAAAGCTCACAACATATTTCATCCTTTATTTTATGAAGGAACTATTGGTAAAGAATAAATAATACACTCTTAATATAAGTACATGTACTTTGTCCTATTTTTAGACATTGATACCATTGACGATCCTGTAAGACGAAATGCTGTCATTTCTTTTATACACAACTTTGGTCAAATGCCTAAGCAGCTCTTCAAGCGTCCTCATCGAAGCCGTAAGGTTTTCACTGGGACTGCAATTGGAAACCCGACCATCGACCAGTCGGCCATTGGGAACCTAATCCCGCAAGTATTCTTTAAAAACTTGGCGCAATTACTTCCTTCTAAAGAACCCATTAAAAGTGAGTTATACAAAATGAAAAGGATTTTTTCTTTATTTCTTTTTGTTCCACTTTTATTATATTAATTTATTTATTTCTAGCTATTCGAGGTGAAGTGGGTCAAATGATAGTCACCACTTCGGACAAGCAGCTGCTGATAGTTGAGAAGCGGAAACTGCTCCTTCCCCCAAACTATACTCGCTATTTCTCATGGGGCTATCTTGATCACAGTGCTAGGATAGCGTCAGTTGAAGGAGATAAGGTAATATTATACGGGATTGTCCACAAAGCATGCTAAGTGAGCTACACAGTATTGACAAGCACTACAATACAGTACATGGCATTTGGTGCAACTTAAAAAATTCATAAAAAATCCAATTTTGATTGGAGTCAGTTCAAACTTGATATACAACATTAGAACATGTATATGTATAAGAAAAAATTATAAAAATGAAAAATTTTCTCCTAGTCATTTTTGGTGAAATTTGGCTCGAGACCCTGTACTATAGTACAGGGTCTTTGGCCCGATTTTGGAGCAACTTTAAAAATTTGTAAAAAATCTAATTTTGATCGGAGTCAGTTCAAACTTGATATACAACATTAGAACATGTATATGTATAAGAAAAAGTTATAAAAATGAAGAATTCTCTCCTAGTCATTTTTGACGAAATTTGGCTTGAGACCCTGTACTATAGTACAGGGTCTTTGGCCCGATTTTGGAGCAACTTTAAAAATTCGTAAAAAATCCAAATTTGATCGGAATCAGCTCAAACTTGATATACAACATTAAAACATGTATATATATAAGAAAAAAATTATAAAAATGGAAAATCTTTTTTTTGTGATTTTTGTCAAAATACCCTGTACTGTAGTACAGGGTCTTCAGTCCAATTTTTGAGCAATCCACAGACAAGAAGTTGTATGAGTATTATGCCAAAATCCTGTGGAAAACCCTGAGGTACTCTGTCTCTCTTCTTTAGGTGATATCAGTATTTGAAGGACTACAGCAAGGAAGGATACTGTGCACAGCTGCTCTTGATGAGAATGTACTCCTAACTGCTGGAGAAAATACAGTAAGTAATTGTAACCCAATCCTTCACCATTATTGTTTCTCGCTTCTTCTCTTTTCAGATAGTCTATGTGTGGAATCTAAAATCAGGTGGTCCTAAGGAGAGAGTTCCCTCCAGTTTATCACTTAAGCACACCCTCCATGGGCACACAGGTCCAATACTATGTCTAGCAACCTCTAGTTCTTATAATATTATCGTCTCAGGCTCAAAAGTAAACAGCTAATTATTATTGTATACTTATATTATTGTTGTTGTTGTTGTTGTTTTTTATAGGATAGGACGTGCATTATTTGGGACAGTAATAAGTTGTTGTTTGTGAGACAGTTGTGTGGTCACCAGTCTCCAGTTACCATAGTCAACATTAACCAACTCAGTGTAAGCCTCAGTACACATCCATACAGTAGTTTCATTGTGTATAATCAATTATAATAGTAGCATCCTTTTAACATACATGTACGTGTATATATTAATTTATTATTATTATTATTATTATTATTATGTAGGGTAATATAGTGTCATGTACTCGTAATGATATAAGGCTGTGGACGGTCAATGGTGTACTCCTAGCTAGGGCTGAGCTAACAATTACCGGAAACTTTAGGCTACTTTGCTGTGCTGTCTCTGAAGTACATTAACTAATACTATTAGTTCATTTAGTTGTACTAGTTAATTTAGTATATAGTACAATAGTATCTATTATTATTATTATTATTAATTTCTCTTTTAGATGTTTGAATGGGATAATGACAATGTGATATTAACAGGCTCTACTGATGGAGTTGTCAGAGTAAGCTCTTAATAACTGATATACACTGTACTGATCCTGTTTTCTTGTACCTTATAGCTATGGCGTCTTGAATATGATAGGGACAATGACCGTATGGCCTCTTCCGCCTCTCCTTATCCGACCACACCTCCCTCTACTTATATAGACACTGACTACCCGAACATATCTTCACCGATTTCAACAAAAGCGCCTGCAAAACTAGCGAGACCGGTGGCCCACGAGTCTGAGAGCTCTGAAGACAAATTGGATGAGATTTCTGACACTGAGAGTAGCTCTGATGCTTTTAGAAGAACAGGCAGTGACGAGGACTTACCCGAATCAATGGATGAACCGGAATCAAACAAAGAAGAGGAGGAGAAGGAGGAAGAGAGAAAAAGAGGAGAAGAATTAAAGAAAGAAAGACAACCGAGTGTCTCTACTGAAGACATGGGGATTAGTCGTTACGTTGAAGAGGCAAAGCAACGCGCTAAAGTTTTAAGAGAGAAAAGTAAACTTACTCTTTCATTGTGTGATCTTAGTATAATGTACCTTTACCATCATAGCTGGTTACTGGAGACGCAAACTTGTACTGGCACACACTCTTACTATGCATACGTCTTTTCAAAGACAGGACAATACTTCACCTGCTGGAGTATCCTGTATCACTGTATCAAAGTAAGGAATATTATACCAAACTATAGCTATGCTGCTATTATTCATTAACTGTACATGTACATCATAAATCATTAGCTATACTATATCCCAGTTGAGTTTGGGACAAGAAAAACTGGAATAACTTTTTATAGGAATGTGGGATAAGGATGAAACTTTCACAGGTTCTTAGTCGCCAAAGTCCATCAAAATCTGTGAAATTTTGGGTCTCTCAACTCTTGGGGACCCTGAGAACCGGGTTCTCCCTATAAACTCAATGGCATACCAAAATGACGTTTAATGACAATTTATCTACGTCATAGTTTACATAAGAACATGTGGTCGAGCGCCCAAACTGATAATTCTTGTTTTAAAATGCTAACAGAGCAAGATCTTCTGATAATGATGGCCTTTATGAAGACTAGTTGACTCCAGTAGCTATTGTACTGCTTATCAGGAAGAGCAAGACTGTTTTAAGAGTGAAACAACACAGCCGCCATGCTTCTATGAATATCATTCAAATACGTCATTTTTGTGACGTAGATACATTTTTCAAATTCCACGCAGCTGCTTCCACTTCCGTCCCAAACTGAACTGGGATATAGTATACACATAAACTTTACATTATATACAAAGTACCTCCATTGCCAATAAATCATTCACATTCTACCTCTGCTATGTCCTATTAGGGATCATAGGAGATTGTACATTGGCGATACACGAGGCAGAGTATTTAGTTGGTCTGTCACTGATAGTCCTGGTTAGTTTCATGTCGTCTAACTTTAAGAGTCCACATGTACATGTTACTAGGTGGAGTGATGGAGCACTGGATATTGGATGATGCCGTGAGCGGTTGTATGAGATGCAATATGGAGTTTACTATCACTGAGAGGAAGCATCACTGCAGAGATTGTGGAAAGATATTCTGCTCGAGGTATCATAATAGTATTTCTAAACTATATAGTCATATCATTATTTTGTATTTTTTTGACACAGATGTAGCGATTATCAAATTGAGATAGAGCGTCTGAAAATTAGCAAGAAGGTTCGTGTCTGCGTTGACTGTCACGACAAAATAAAGCAACAGCAACAGCAACAACAGTTTGTTGCTTGATTTTAATAATGATATTTTAAATTTTGTATATTAGATTATAATTTTAAATAATTTTAATAACTACTTTATAACTACTTATTGTTTGACACGTGGTAAAACGTGGTTAGTAGGCGTGTCATTATTGACAATATGGCGGAATCTTCTCCCAAAATTGCTGTCGTTTCCGCTTCTTCACATACTCAAAAGCGGTTTACTGCCGACTCAAAAGGAGAGGGAAAAGTTGTAAAAACCAAAGAAACCTCCAGGAGACGATATGCCAATCAAATACCCGACGAGATACTGAATAACACTCAAATCAACGACGCTGTATCCCTCCTACCTTCTAATTATAACTTTGAGATACACAAGAGCATATGGCGGATCAAACAGACCCAGGCAAAGAGAGTTGCCCTTCAGATGCCAGAGGGTCTCCTATTATATGCAACGAGTATCAGCGATATAATAGAGACTCATACTGAAGCTCAAGTACTTATCATGGGCGACGTGACCTACGGCGCTTGCTGTGTAGACGATTTCACAGCCAGGGCACTTGGCACCGACCTCATAATACATTATGGTCACAGCTGCTTGGTACCCGTTGACACAATGAGTGATATACACATGCTTTATGTGTTCGTGGACATTCAAATAGACAATGTTCATGCAATTGATACGATAAGACAAAACTTCACTCCAGGCAGTACTATTGCTATTGTTAGCACTATACAGTTTGTTGCTGCAGTTCATGCTATTAGACCGGTTTTATCCGACAAGTATAATGTTATAGTTCCTCAGTCAAAACCTCTTTCTCCTGGTGAGATACTAGGGTGCACGTCACCGTCCCTCCAGTGTGCTGGTGGGACGAAGGTCGATGGTATAGTGTACCTGGGGGATGGGAGGTTCCATTTGGAATCAATAATGATTTCTAATCCAGACATACCTGCTTATAAGTGAGCCATTAATCATCATTCGCTATTATTATTATTATTATTATTATTATTATAGATATGATCCATATTCTAAGAGGTTTACCCGTGAACATTATGATCACGAGAAGATGAGAGACACAAGACACTCTTTAATAAGAGTAGCAGCTGCTGCCGAGCGATATGGTCTTATACTGGGTACCCTAGGGAGACAAGGAAGTCCTAAGGTGCTCACCAACTTGAAGGAGTTACTGGATAAAGCAGGAAAGGAGCACTTCACTCTTTTGCTCTCTGAAATATTCCCTGATAAGCTGAAGCTTTTTGGCGATTCTATTGATGTATGGGTGCAGGTGGCTTGTCCGCGACTCTCGATCGATTGGGGCACTGCGTTTGATAAGCCACTCCTGACTCCTTATGAGGTAGCTGTAGCATTGAATAGCACTCAATGGTCAGTGCCTTATCCAATGGATTATTATGCCAATGAGAGTACTGGCCCATGGACTGTTAATCATCCTAATAATAGAACTAAGAAACTAACTGCCAAGAGGTAGTAATAATTTCTATTTTTAAATAATTGTTCAAAATAATAATCGATGTCGCTAAGTGACCACGTGTTGTCACGTGTGCTTAAGTCACGTGCTCCAATCATTAACTTTTGACCTCTTATCGGATCGGATCATGGAGTCGAGTATTTTGCTGTTTTTGGGCTCGCTCCTGCTGCATGCTGCTATAGGACAGTACAATGTGGATGATTCTGGTGGCACTGGACCAAAATTTGATGGTATTGGTGGATTAAGCGGAGGAGGAGTAAGTCAAGACTTTAGATTCAATAGGTTATGCAACACTTTCTTGTTTGTAGGCTACTTCCAGACTCTTGCCTAGCTACAGCACTGAGGCTGTGTCTCAGATTTTTGATTTATTGTTTAAGGTAAGCTCTCGTAACATTGCCTTTGGGCGGGGCTCAAATGAGCTGATTCACACCTATGTTAATCTAAAAAAATTCAGTGTAATTTTATTATTTTAAATAGCCAAATTTTGCTGCTTCTCTACAAATTTGTAAAGTTGAAATTGGCGGAGATGGACAAAGCACAGGTGCAGTACAATTTATACTCGTCTCATTCTATTCCATTCATTTCTTCAGATGGTACAGAGTCATCACACATGCATAGTCAAGATGATGAGAATTATCATCGTGGATATGAATGGTGGATCATGACTGAAGCTAAAAAGGTAACTTATACTAATGTGGTTATAGTATTTTCCTATGGCTACAAACTTATCAAATTATCGTGGTCACTGTAGCACTGGTACCTGATTTAATTTCACTTTTTCTTCTGAATATTTTGTATTATTATAGCGCAATCCTAACATCAAGTTATACGGACTGTCATGGGCTTATCCTGCTTGGGTGAGTCACATGAACTAGTGTTATGAATATCATTATGTCATGTGACACAGGTCGGTAATGGTAGTGGTAGTCCATACAAGTACCCTGAACTGACAGCTGGTTATATCGTTAAGTGGATTCAGGGAGCTAAGAGTACTTACGGACTGACATGAT